GAAGTCCAAGGGTAGTTGTTGAGGGGATAGAATTTAAAACAAAATCTGATAATTCAGAAAACCTCTCCACAAAAGAAGAGACAAAGAACAGTTTTATTAGTGAATAAACATTAAACCTGGGTGTGATGTGCACCACAGGCAATTTTCTGAAGATACTGCAAAGTCAGAAAGCAATTCTACCTTTTTACATGGCCAGGCAGACACAACACATTGCATATGTGTTCTCAAGATAAACAATAACTAGTCCTCACGTAAAAGGACTTGATGGTGCCATTTGTCACACATCTTTATAATTATAAGGAAGATAGATTTACATTACATTCCTAGAAGATAAGGGAATTTTCATTTTCGATGATGACATTTTAAAGATATGGTCACCAATCTCCTGAAGAAACACTCCTGAGCTGCTTATATAGCCTCCAAAAAACTACCAACATTTCAAAGAGGTAGAGAAAGAACTCACGTTTTCTAAAGGATCTTAAAAAAGAGGAGCAGAGTCTCTTCTCCTTTATTTTCAATAATGAGAATTGAATCTTACTTTTATTTGTACTTATTTTTACATAGTCTTCAAACTTTACTTGCAAATCATGCATTTCATTTTTTTGTCTAGTCAGTGACCAAAATGCATGTCCTTCATAACTTTACAGAAATAGTGTAGATATAAAGGTATTATTACCTCTAACGTATTTTAATTTTATTCTACAGATTTCAAAATAATATAAATGGTATGACAGAAAGCATAATACACTTCATATAATATAGTATATATTACTTTAATAAGAGCTTTTTTGTTGATGAATGCATATTCTAAATAAATATTGAGTGTTCTTTGTGGTTCAGGCACTATTCTAGACACCTAGGATATGTCAGTGAATAAAACAGACAAAAGAAACTTGAGTTTATGGAGCTTAAATGTAAAGGGAGATAGTGTATATGACAAAGTGATGAAATCTTGAACTAAATCAGAGTCATTTAATAATTATTGGGAGTGTTAGAATGGAGGTGGGTTTGCAGTTTTAAATTTTCAGAGTATGCCTCATTGAGATGGCTTTTCAACTAATACTTGAGGTGAATGCTACAATTAATTTATGAGTAAACATTTTAATCTATTTTTTCTTTGCAAAAATAGAGAAAAGAAAATCAGGTGTGTTATCTTAACATTACCAGCTATTACTGAGCCAAGGACAGTGTGAATTCAACACAACATAATATGTTGATGGGGGAAGTTTTGACACTAAAACTTGGCACTTAGTATTGGAGAGGGAGGCAGACAGGGAGGTCTCTGCCTATCCATGAGAAGAATTTCTAGGACACATCAGTTACATCTTCCCAGCTTTATCCTTCTTTTCTGACGTCTTAGAATTAAGACAAAAATATATGGATATGGCAATTAAGTCATTCAGTTATATATGTTGCCTTAAGTGCTGCCAGTATAACTGGTCTTATACAAAATAAAATAATGGCTTTTCATAGTGTCACAATCAAATCATCTTATTGTGTTAGTAATATTGTTCTCAGATAAAATCTCCTGTTACTCACATTAGGTGACTTCCTGGTTGGAGGTTTGTCCTTTGATGACTTAAACAGAGGAAGGAAACTCTTGTGGCTTCACCCTTTAACACTGGAAATGGTTCTCCAGGAAAGGCTGAAGACAGGTGGAGAGAACAAAGAGATACTGATAGTTTAGAGTTAGATGACAGCCCAGCAGGTTCTGTTACAGAAAAATGCTTACCTAGGAAACAAGTGTTTTGTTGTTCTTTTTTTTCCATTTGGGAGAATCTGATAATCTTTGTATTATTTGCAGTGCATGGACTTAATAGTAATAGTGGAGTTCTAATAATCTAAAGTCACTAATTCCAGTGCCATTGAAGGTGATGAATTTCATCTTTAAAGAATTTTGGCAATGATATGTACTTGAAACCACATTTTTCCTGACACTTTTTAATTTGTTCTGTCATCTTTCTACTTAGTGCTATTATGCTGATGATCAGTCATTTTAGTTTGTAGCCTAGCAATTTTGTTTTGTTTGGAAAAAAAATGAAATTTCTTTATGTGAGGCATGGCATTTCTGGTTCAAAATACCTCTCCTTCCTGACCAATTCAAATTTTTACTTTAACTACCTGGTCCCTGAAATATCTCTGTCTTATAGCTCTACAAAAATGAAAAAGAAAGAGATCCAGTGAGGAAAATAACTTCAATATTTCATATGAAAATTTAACATCTGAGTTCATTTGGTGATAAATGAAAAGGGAGAAACAGCTTTGGGTGTAAGGATGCAGTTGAAATATTTTCAGGAAGGACACAAGCTTCCTTGTCTGTCTAGTCATTGGTTTTGGAATTGACAAACTTAGTATGACTGATAACTATTTGCTCTTGTTTATGACACTGAGATGTTTGCTTATGTTATACAAGACAAAATGAAACATTATCTTACATATCCCCAATGCTTCACTTTTCTTATGGAATTCTCTCAAACCTCATGGTACACTGGTTGCCATGCATACCCCTGATTATACCATGTGGGAATATATATGGGAAGATATGTGGAGAGGAGGGGGAATATACATTTGAAATGTAGGCCCAGTTCGACCAGTGTGTATAGTTTAATTTGTTGAACAGTATGAAGGAGTGCAACTTTTCTCTGATAATGATTGTGTTTTTGTATGGTAGAGGAAGCCAGTGCAACAAGTGGCCTTGCCAACAGTGTCTCTGGTGGTATGGATTTTGGCGGTACTGCTTCAAATCAAATTGAAATTGGTAACGATCACATCGATTTGATGTGAATGCAAAAAATGGATTATCTGGCTCTAATTCTGCTGCCAGGGAAAAAGATATTTAAGTTGTTCCTTCATTTCTTCTTTTGACAGGAAAATGATCAATTAGCAAAACAGGGATTGGCTGTGGGGTCTTTTGATAAATACAGACATTGTTAGAGGGACATTTAGGAAAGATCTTTAAATAAGGTTAGATTCTTAAAGGGTCTGTGTTAACTTCAATAGCAATTTAAACATTTTAATAAAGAGACATGTAGATTTAATGCTTTTATGAAGGAGTGGGAACCTGGAGGAAAGATACCCAGTTTGTATCCTCCGTATTTCCCACTAACCTTCTGTAGACTGGGGAAACCACATAATATCTCTCGTTCCCAAGTTTTGTCATAGGGACAGAAATATTTTAGTCTCATGTTTCTCTAAGACTTTTGCAATGCTAACTTTGTAAGTTCAATTATTCATATTTTAACTAGTTTTCTTGGAAAATAAATGTTAGAAAAAAGTAGATTTACTAAAGTGTGGATAAGTAGAAATTTATATTCAAAAATTAAAGTAGGTGAAAGAAGTATGGATCAATAAAGTACAGTGCATCTAGGTATTTTTGTGTCCGAGCTATTTATCTTAAAACATGTGGATACTGGTGGAAACACAAAGAATAGCAAAAGGTTTGTTGCTAAGTCCAGGAGCTTTGGCTCCCATGACAGTGGCTCAGATATTCTGATCCGGACTGTGTTAAGAAAAAATACCAGTCATTTACATCCTTTGCTTTGTGTTCTTGATAACAGTTAATTTTCCATTTGCCTTTCGATTTTGGACTTGGTGGTAAAAATGGGTGAACTTGGATTGTTCTTGGTACTTCTAGCTCATGTGGAATTGGTGTCAGCGGTCTTGAACAAAAAGGTTTTGGTTAAAGTGAAATAGGGAACACTGGAAAATCAGGTTCTACTGATTACTCTTCAGGTTTTGTGCATAAAAAGTAAAATTAACACAGAAACAGCCTAATTATTTTGTATTAAATACCGAATTTTGCTGTATATAATGCACACCCACATTTTTATGCACATTATTCATGTGTTATTATACCCATTATTATACCCATGGTATGTAATCATTGTACCCATGTATAATGTGAATCTTTATTTTTCTCTCAAAAATTTGGGCAAAAAAGTGCACATTATACACAGCAAAATATAGTAAGTGTCACAAGCTCATCTGACTACAGTGCCTTGGGCTGCTCAGTACTCATGATAATTTAATTTATTATGTTCAGTGTTGGAAAAATTTATATATATATATAAATATGTATAGAAATAAAATATAAAAAATATATAAAATTGATGTATATAACATTGTCTGGATATATATATTCCTAGTAAATCGATGGTATCTTCTGTGTTCTTTACTGAATAGAGCTACTAAGTACCTCTTCCCTTTGAGTACTAAAGTTTAGATGACCAACTGCATATTTGAACCAATTTCATGAATAAGAGAAAAGTAATTATATTTTAAGACAACCTGAATAAAATATAGTACTTCTTTATAATTTTAGTTATTATTTTAAAATTACTTTATGAAGAGTGAAATCTATTTCTATTCAACCCTAGTAAAAACAACCTGTTATAAAAAGAAATGGCTTCATTTCCTATAAAGTAAATGCCATTGTGAAAAATATTTATAAATTTATTTCAAAATATTTACTTTTGTTATTGTTATTGTTATTGTTTTATTTTGCTTGCTTGTAGAATAAAACAACCTTGCTCTAAGATTTCTTATAAATTTACTTGGTTACATAAAAGGGTCAGTAAATTAGAAATAAAAAATCATGGGAAACAAATTTTAAGGTATAAAGATTTTTCTTTTTGATTAGGAAGATTAAATTTTCTTTGTATAGATAATTAAATTAGTAGTATTATATAGTATATTGGTTTGATAAAAATCTACTTTGGACCTGTAATTGTAGATGGCCCAAAATGTATAAGCTCTTAATGATTTCTGAATTTACTGTGGCTGATTGTTCCCATAAAAAATATGGACTTCAGAGATAATCATATATATGACCTTGGCAAATCATAGCTCTCACAAAATAAAATATATTCAGGATAAAAAAATATCCATTTATGGCTTTCAATGCCAATTTCTAAATTCTCATGTAGATATCCAAATATATTGTATATTTAAAATCAATTTGTGTCCTGAATTTGAAATAATCTATGCATTGTGTTAAATAGAAAAAGGATCCCATATTCCAGAAGCAACTCCAAAATACTCAGAAACAAGTGCTATAATTGGTAAGTAAAAATTATTCTGATTTCTATCTATATTTTTATGACCAAGCTAATCAGTACCTAATGAAGTTACAAAGTAACCAAGATTTAAAACTCTAATAGTTTTAAAAATTTACCCATTATCCATCTATGTGATCATTGTATGTTTGAATGACATCACATTGGCAGTATTTTTCCTCAAAGATACATATGATCACACCACATACACATAAATATATGTGCAAATACATATGTTTGCACATGTACATGTATGTATAGAGAGAAATAATGGAATTCTTTATACTCATTTGATATATGGTAACCCACTCAGACAATATTAGAAAGACCACACAAAAAGCAAAAGCAATTAAACAGACCACTGCTTCCCTCCATGGATTGCTCCCCATAGTAAAGGCACGTTCCCTTTCCCAAGGAAAACAAAACTTTTTTTTTGTTACATCCATTTTATTTTATGCCATTACAAATGAGAACTACAATCAACATCTCTGTACATATAGGCTTATAGTGGCTATAAAATAGATTCCCAGTAGTGAGATTGCTGAGCTAAAAATACGTATATTTTAATTTAAATTTTAATAGACACTATCAAAATCACTTCCAAAAAGGTGTCAATAATTCACATTTCCAAATACAATTTCTCTGCATCCTCACCAGTAGTAGGCATTAGTACTTTCTAATTTTAGCCTTATCCTACAGGGTAAATGAAATCTATAAAAACTACTAGAACTAATAAGGGCATTACAAGAAACAACCAATGAATGCATAAATAGTGGAACAAGACGTTTTTATTCCTGTTTTGTTTTAGCCAGATAGCCAACTCTGGGTACTGCCAAGGACTCAGGTACTGCTTTCAGTGTGTTTTTACAGTATGTGAGAAAGACAAGTACTGAAGGAAGGTGGTGGCTGTGAGAATAGAATCTTTCAGTATTTTTAAAAAATATTTGTACATGAATACTTTAAAAAAGTCAGAGCTAGAGAGTACACTAATTTTTCTGAATAATTATGAATATTCTCTAAATATCTTGTAGGTGAAGCTTCTACTTGGGGCAAAGGAGCATATAAAGCTTTCAACGGCCGTATCTTCTCCTTTGAGTCATCCTGCGCCTACATTTTCTGCCGTCACTGCGTTGACTCGGGAGATTTCAATATTGAGATCAAACGAGGCAATGAGAGTGAGATTGAAAAAATAACAGTTGTATTGGACAGTAATGACATCTCTATATCTGGTGATACCATTTTAGTTAATGGAGAAAGGTAAAAGTGATGGTGTTTGCATAGATGCTATAGAATTATTTAACCTGAGGGAGGGGGAAACCGAATGGGGAAAAGATGGTGAGAGATGGTTCACTTTTTTCCTGTTTTGATGCTTGGGTTGATGTTCTACATGGAAAGGAGTTTGGTAAATATATGACTTAGATATATCTGGGACCATAAGGTATATTTACTTTTAGAACAAGGTGGAAAAAAAGAGTGATTCTGTTCTTTGACTATTTCTAATATCTAGATTTTAGTCAACATGCATGATCCACAAAGCTGTTGAAAGGATATTTCAATTTTCTTTTGTATGTCTAACAATAAACCAAAATTTTGGATTTTATAATAGATCGAAGTCCTTAGGCCATGATCTTCAGACGTAACGACTCATATTTGAAGGGGATAGCATATTTGAGTATTTACTAGGATAATAAAATGTAGCATGATAATCCCCTTGTGAAAATTTCAAGTTATTTCATCATTATTTTCTTACACTGAACCAATGTATTTTTTTGTGGTGGTGGTGTTCATTTCTCCAAAGTCCCAAAGATTTAGTCATTGTTCCTTAAAAGTCTTTCCAATATTGGGAAAAGAGCCATGCATCCCTTCTTCTGAAATGATATGAAAAAGAGAACTTTAATATTTATTAGACAACATTTCTAAATATAGAAAAATGAATTGCCACACAAACATATTATAATTCTTCTTACATTTATGTGTACTTGTGTTTTATACTTTTTAGTGTACAGATACCATATAACAATAAGCTGATCCATATTAAAAAATATGGAGAATACAATGTCCTGAATAGCCGTAGAGGAGTCTTGTCTTTGATGTGGGACAAAAATAACAAACTCTCAGTAAGTTTATGTATGATTTTCTTATAATCTTGTGCCTTTTGTTCTTTGCTTTTAATTATAAAAACAATACATTATAAGGAGAATGAGAGTTAAGGTTTATTGAGAAATCTCTAAGTGCTTGTCACTGTACTTACCATTATCTTAATATTTAAAACATCTTGAAATACATAGTATTGTTAATCTTATTTTAAAGGTGATGGAATTCAGGAGATTCAGTCTAATGAAAGTTAAATAAACTGCCCAAAGACACGTAGTAAGTGTTGGAGTCATGACTTATTTCTAATGTAGAGCCAGGTCCTTAAGGAGAAAAAAAAGAACAACAAACAAACAAACAAACAAAAAAACACCCTTTAGTACATCTCTAAGTAACCAGCTTAAGTAGAATTAAATACGAAGAGCCATGTTCTTTGGTTTGGATAATTTTGTCTTGAGATATTTTTAATATTTTATAAATATATACATGTAAATTTCTTTTAAAGCTCACTCTTCACAAGCAATATCCAACCTGTGGTCTTTGTGGTAATTTCAACAGCACTCCAGGTAAGATTTCAATGTATTATGTACAAGAAAATTGCTTCCAAAAATTTTATAAATTATAAAGTAATGGCTTATATTTGGATATATATAATAATAAACAATTTGCATTTTTCAAAAGAATAAAAATTTTTAAAAATAAATATATGTATATATTTGTCAAGTCTATGTTTAGCTTGAAAATAATGTGCATATATATATATATATATGATATTATGAACCAAACATTGTTTCCTTTTAAGGAGAAGATATCAATGAGCACATTGCCAATAGCAAAATTCCTGGTGATTGTCCCAAAACTCTTACTAAGAACTATGAAACTTGTGAAGATGGAGTACAGGTAAGAAATTAGTATTTCATCTAGTAGCAAATTTTAACAATATTCTGTCACGGGGAGCGACGCATTGCGGGGAGCGCTGCAGTGGAGCATGGGGCTCTTGGATCTGAGGGTCACTGTCCTGGGCCAGCTGAGGAGGGAGCAGGGCTCTGAATCCTGCAGAGTCTGTACGGGGGTTGCCATGGATGGGGGAATTAACATGAGTTGTCGCAAACACTTCTCTGTTTGCCAGGAGAGGGGACATGGCTCTTCCCTCTAGGGGAGAGAAGGTCCTGAACCCCCATGTCCAAAGGCTTTTATTGAGAACCAAATGCACAGGGGTACACAGCAAAGCTCATCAATCAATGTCAAAAGGTTATGTTTACAGAAAACAAATAGAGATCATAGATAACTGTCTCACTGCGCTGCGGCTTAGCGGGGCATGCCGTGGTGGCCGGGAGCGCCGCAGAGAGCACAACGCTCTCTGAAACCTGAGGGAAACCATCTAGGGCCAGGTGAGGTGGGAGCATGGCTCTGAAACCCACAGAGCCTGTCCCGGGTTTGTCATGGATGAGAGGGAATAAACATAAAACGTTGCAAACACTTCTTTGTTTGCCCAGAGAGCAGACGGGGGCACTTCCCTCTTACTGGAGAAGGATGTGGCACAACCCCCTAGTGGGGAAGGCCCTGTCTCCCTTTGTCCCAAGGCTTTTATTGAAAAACTTAATTAGTGGGCTAGGCAACAAGAATGCAAACATACACTCATTACATTAGCATGTTAAGTTTCCCAGAGAAGAGATACTTTTAAGAAAACAAGTGATAGGAATTTGCTGATTTACCTGGGTCTGAAAGGAGACTAAACAAAAGAGAATGAAGACAAGGGCAAGTGCCTTAATGATAAAGGGTAAAGGGTGTAAATAATGTGAATGTCCTTTGTGGCATGAGCTGGCCAGAGATCTGAGGAAAGAACAAAGCACACTTAAAGAAATTACTTATAGGCCTGATTTCCCTGGCAACTGCCAGACCTAATTTGCAGCTGACTCCTGTACTGCTTCAGGCCTGAGCCAGGTCTGGGGAGGGAACCACCAAGAGACAAGGAGACTGCTTCTCGGCTGCAATGAGGACTCCGGCCGTGTCCAAGCCAAGCCGAGGAGTGTGGGGGCCTCTGTGCTCCTTCTCTGTGTCCCCCAATTTCTTGTCTGCTGCCAAAATCGGCCAAGGCCTGTCTTAGGTGGTTAACCTCAGTGTGAGGTCACCTACCCATCATTGGCAATTTGACCATCCATAGCAAAGCGGGCAGGGGACACGCCAAGTCTCCTCAGGAGCTTGTTTCTCCAAGGCCTCCTGATTATTTCCAGCCTCGGGGCCTTCCAGCCCGGCAGGGTTACAGCTTCTGAAACCAGGCCGGGCGTTTCCCAACAGATAACAACTGGAGGAACACAAGAGATCTGCTTCAAGTCAGGGTCTATGAATAATGTAAATCTCCTCTCCAGTATGAGCCGGTTATCATAGCTTATGAGGGAAGAACAAAGCATGCTTAGAGGAACTTACTTCTAGGCCTGATTGTCCCCGGGAACTGCCTGATCCAGTTTAGGGCTATACCTGCCTCTAGTATTGTTTCAAGCCTGAGCCAGACGGGCGGGGCAGAGCCACCAAGAGATAAAGAGACTCCTTTCGGATAGAATGAGGACTCTGGCCAAGCCGAGCCGAGGGATGAGGGCCTTTTTGCCCTGTCTCTGTGTCCCCCATGCTCATGTCTCCTGGTCCATACCTGATGATGTCTGGCTTAGGTTGTCCCTCCTCTTGAGAGAATTTACCCGTCATCAACAACCCACCATCACAGGGCCCAGCAGGGTGATATGAGGGGCGCAGGGGCTATGCCCCTGCCAGGGGGACAGGTTTCGTATCCTCAGTGGCCTGTTTTCCCAAGGCCTCCTTGATTAGCTCCAGCCTTGGGGCCCTCTCACCTGTCAGCGATACTACAGTCCCTGAAACCAAGCGGGGTGTTTCCCAACAGTATTCCCCTTGGTTTTAATTTAGAGAGCCAGTATACTTTCTAAGCACTCATATCTCATTCTTGGAATTCTGCAACAGCTTTCTCTCCAATATCCCTGTAGTCCATTTTTCAGTTTTAGTCTAACTGTAGATGCTAAAAATAAGTTTTTTCTAAAACATTATATTAACTATATATTAGTGTGACAATTCTGATTTCCTTTGCATAGTTACCATGAGAAAATGTTTCACAATTTACTTTTTCCTATAAGTCAGTCTGCAACCCTGCTCAGATTGACTGATGTGAACCTTAGGAACTGAAAGCACTAGGCCACCTATATGGCCATCAGCCCTATAGGTAATGCTGACACCAAGCAATAACAGTGAGTCAACACAGGTGACTATACTATTCGTTCAGCTTTTATTGATGTAGGTTCAATCTCAATCACTAGCAATAACACTCAGAACCAATCCGTCATAATATCACATGAGAGAATTGGGGTATAATGAACCTAAGTCACAAGAGTCCAGATCAGGTCCAGGTATAGGAGGCAGTGAGGTGGTCAACATCTTGCAAGGCAGAGTCACAGGGATGGGATCACAGCAGAGCTCTTTCTCCCAAGGTGGAATGTGCAGGACCTCTCAAGGTGACTTGCTCTTGGGATGAGTCACCGATGGTCTGAAGTCCTCTGCTTATATACTCTTGCATGATGCAATGTTATATTAGCATCTGATCAACACATGTGGTTTTGTGCAACCTGAATAGGCACATGTGGTTTATGTTACTCTACTGTGCATGCTCTGAGAGGGTGGTGTTACGCTTCAGATAAATATGTGTTGTTTACCACATTGTGCATGCATGCTCAAGAGATTGGATCCTTCCTCTGAGTCATCGCTAAACTGTGCATATTCTAAACAGGCTTCCCTAAATGCTATCTTAGTTGATAGGACTGATGCATCTCAATTCAGTCTTGCTCTCCACAATGGTGTTTTAATCTGTATGTAAATTGACATGCTTTACCTCTCCATTTTTTCCTCTTGATGGGCACTAACTTGACTCTTATAGTTTAGAAATCCATGTACTGTGTCACTAAGAACTAGTTTCTGTTCTTGTTTCCTTACTTTTGCCCCAGAAAACTAATCTCAATTGTCATCCTTTGTATCCTTTACCTTCTTCAAGAAAAATGTTGCAGATAGCCCTGGACAGGTTGCTTCGTTGGTTGGAGCATCATCTTACAAACTAAAAGACTGTGGGTTTGATCCCTGGCCAGGGTATGCATGGGAAGCAGTCAATCAATGTTTCTCTCTCACATTGATGTTTCTCTCTTTCTCCTTTTCTCTCCCTCTAAAAAATAATAATAAAGAAACAAGGTTACAGGTAATCTTTTTGACTATAATACTTGAAAACAGTCATCATTTACTCTGAATTTTCCAACCTTGTGTAATTCTCTTATGTTGAATTTGATGGAGTCATTTGATGACTAAATGAATGTTCACATATTCCTGTTTTAATGTAAAACAAAATTCTCAAGACCAAGATATATGCAGATAGAAGAGATTTTTGGTTTAGTGAAAATGGGTGTTACATTTATAATTATCTTGTCATCTTCCAGCAAATCAAATTAAACCATGAGATTATATCAATGTGAGATCATCTACTATCTTCCTTTGAAACCTTTCTTGATCTTTGCAGTTGGAATGCCTTCTCTTTTCTTTGTTATCCTAAGCCACTCATTGGTACTTGTGATAAGATACCATCTATAATAATTTCCCATGTTTTTCTCATATGGTTTCTATAAGATTAGGTGTGAGTTCTGTAATAATGTATTATCTGTTGTGGTGGTTGCATATTGTGTGAGAAGTTACTCCTTGTTGCTTAAAAATGTTAGTTGAATACATACATAAATTTATGTTAAAGCCAATGAATACTTGGTAAAGACCTACTACATACAAAACATTATATTAAGCCCATAAGACAGAGTTATATTTCTTGATCTAAAGGAACTTATAATCTAGTGAAAAAGATATGCAAAGGACAATAGATGATAAAACAATCTTTAAAGATTTTATTTTGGTTCATTTAATAAGGCTTACTTGGTGCAAATTGTGCACTTGCTTGGCAATAACTTTCACATTTCCTGAAAAAAAAAAATGGTTACAATAGAAAACAGTTATGTAGTAGTTAAAATATATTGAAATTTGAACGTTTTGGTGTTAATTAATATGTCTTTACTTCCTTAACCAATATGAGAACAACTATGTTGTTTCCAGAGCAAACTCACATGGCCCACACTGAGTAAACACAGAGTCACTGTGTTTTACTGCCATCTGTCTACTAATCAAATATAAGCAGACTAACAAGGGCCAATATTCCTTCTTTCTATTGTGGTTTCAATCATTTATCATCCAATTTCTGACATTTACTCATCTCTCCTTTTCTCACCTCTTATTCCTTCTCAATTCTAAATTTCATGTCACCTTTAAAAATTTTTAGATGAGTTCAGGTATAAGTTTTGAAGTTGTTTTATGGCAATCCAAATGCCAGAAACAAAGTATACTTTTAGAAGTAACTGTACCAACTACAATACTTCAAAACCCTTCATTTCAACCAGCATCCAACAATCCTCCCTGTCAAACCTACAGAGTATTTTGCAAAAAAAGAAAGAAAGAAAAATGCTTCTGAATTTTTCTCTTCCTAAATATTTATTCGATTGTCCATTTTCTTATGTTTTAGTAAAACTTTGTTTTACTTTACAGCACTGTAACAAAATTATTGGAATCTACTTTGAGAAATGTGGAAAGGTTACTGCTTTAGCCAGTGACTACAAAATGATCTGCATTGATGAGTACTGCCAACACAGAGACAAAAATTCTACATGTGATACTTATTCAGAGCTGTCCCGCCTTTGTGCCTCAGATGGTCCTGGCACCTATGAATCCTGGCGAGAAGATTCTGATGTGGTTTGTGGTAGGTTTTACATTTTACTGTGGATACCAAATCAGAAAGTACTATAGAGGTGTGGGCAAAAATAGGTTTACTATTATCTGTACCTGAAATGCAGAGTTTATTCTTGTATTATTATGAATTATTGTATTATTTTTCCATATGAAAGACTGTAAACCTACTTTATCACATTCCTGTATAATACTTTAAAGTTATGTGTCAAAATAATCTCTCAGATGATTATAAGCCCTGGAAAGCAAGTTAGAGATGGTAGAGTCTTGTCTCTTTCATGTGCTCATGAAGACACTGAAGCCCATTTGGTGAAGTGACTCGCCACTGTTGCAGTGGTTTTTGCTGAGATCTCAATTAGGAACTTCATAATCTTTAAAATAAGTAAAATTCACAGGGTAAAATGAGTAAAATTTTGTAAAATTCTGTAAAGACCTGGAAACATTGTTAAAAGTATATTGATTAGTACTATGATTTTCTTTCAAAAAGATTAATACAACATAAATATGAAATTCATACAAACATAAGTATACATTCCCTTATGATTAGCTGGTCCTTATAAGTTACAATACAAGTATAATATCAGTTTCAAGATACAGTGAAATCATATTATACATAATTAAATCTTCCATATTAAATCTTGTATCAAAATAATGCACGGTAAATTGACATAATATATTTGTACTGACTTATATCTTGCTTTTAAGACTTATATCTTGCTTTGGCTGGTGTGGCTTAGTTGGTTAAGCACAAGCCTGTGACTAAAGGGTCGCTGGTTTGATTCCCAGTCAGGGTACATGCCTGGGTTGCAGGCCAGTCCCTCGTAGGGGGTATGTGAGAGGCAATCACACATTGATGTTTCTCTCCATCTCTTTCTCCTTTCCCCTCTCTCTAAAAATAAATAAATAAAACCTTTAAAAGACTTATGTCTTGAAAATTAGACTCAAAGAATTCCATTTGAAAAGATCTCCATTAGAATGTTATGCTTTTATCCCATTAATTTTTCTGTAATTTTCATGCACGCATATTTCTGTATTTCTCCAGAAAAGCCTAGTTGCCCGGAAAAACATATCTACAAAGAATGTGGCCTCTCAAATCCTGCAACTTGTTCTAATTTGGTTCCTTTTCAAGACAGTGAATGTGTGAGTGGCTGCACCTGCCCAGAAGGTAATATTTGCACTAAAACATCTGACAATGAAGTGACTCGACTGTAGTGGGATCTTACCCCTAATGAGATATTTGGTGAACTCATTTATTCATAATCCAGCCTTCTAACAAACTGCAGATGAGGGGTAGAGAGAGATCTTTGAAGTCAATGTATATTTCTGGCTCTACAGTACCTTAAGGCTACATATCCCACAGATAATGCTGTGTATTTGGCTTAGTAGTACTGCTCTGTAGGCCAGAAAATTATATGCTTGACAATGCTCAAAGAAGTAGTAGCTGCATAAATACAAATTACAATGTTAGGTGCATGTTAGCATTTAAAAGAACAAACTCAACCATGATTTCACAATATACTACTTGAGAATTTACTGATGTTTATAAAGTTTTGAGATTAATCTTACATAATATATTCTAGGTTATCTATTGGATGACATTGGAGAGAAAGGGAGATGTGTATTAAAGGATCAATGTCCCTGTGAATCTAATGGAACAGTCTATCAATCTGGAGAAGTCCGAAAAGGACCTTGTGGTTCTCAGTGGTATGTGTGTGCTTTTTGTCCACATTTTGTTGATGGTGAGAAAATACTAATATTTTAATTTGATTTGAAATAAGCCCCAAATCCACCTTAAAATAAACTTTTTCAAAATAAAAAGCAGCCTCATTAGATTTTCAGTGTTGATATTTTATCTTTTATTTTTTTAAGGAATGTTTAATGTGCTATTTGTATAAAATATGTAAGCATTCTGTGTTATCTTCCAAAGATAATGTTTTTCACTACTGACATGGTGTTTTGAATAGTGATCCAGTTGGTGGTTGCAAATATTCAGCAAAGAATAATACAAGAGTATGGTTACAATAGTGAAACAGTAATTATGATAACTACCAAGAATATTTAACAAAATGTACAATCAGAAACAACCCAACACTTTTCAAATAACATTATATGAGGCTACATTGGTGAAGATATATTTTCCAGAATGGATTTTAATGTACCAAAAGTTAGTGTAGATTATTTTTCTGGAATAATTAGCTTGATTTCTCTTTTTGGGTGAAGCAACAATCTGCTAAGCAGAGAGATTTCCCCATTACTCATTATTACTTTTCTCTGAAATTGCAAATTTCTGCAGGAGTCCAAAGAACTTTTCTAGAAATATGTAATATCCTTCTGAGAAACTAATTTGACTCAATGAAAACCAACCTGTTATTTATAGTAAAATATTTTCCCTAAAAATAAATGTTTTATTGATGTGATAATAATTTATTAAAGATAATTATGAATAATAATAGCTATGATTTATTAAATGTCTATAAAAATGCTGTTAAGGAGAAATATAATGTGAGTCACATATGTCACCCACATAGATAACTAATACTTTTAGTTGACACATTAAAAAAAAAGAAACAAACATGCGGAACTAATTTCCATCTTATATTTTATAGATCCAAAATATTATCATTCCAACATAACATTAATATAAAAAGTTAACAAGAGATTTTACAAATTTTTTTATATTGTCCTTGATGTCTGTGTATGTTTCAATTGCAGCAGATCTCAGTCTGAGCTAGCCACATCTCCAATGATCAATATCTCTAAGACTGTACTGTATTGGACAATGCAGGCCTACAATGTGGCAAGTAGCATGTGTTTTAATATTAACAATGAAACACGTTCCACATAAACAAACCCTTGAAATCCAGTTTACAAGTTTTTATATATTTAATGCAGGCAGATGTTATTATCTTATTCAATAGAATTCAGGTCTTTTAAAATACCAGGATACCACCATCAGTGAGACATTTTATGAGCTGAGATGTTGGATGAAGAATGGATATAACCTAGTAAAACTCAACTAAGTATCTTAGTGTAAGTTGTAATTTTTTTAAAACATTATTTATAACCTTTACCATACCCATTTTATTTTAACAGCACATGCCAGGAAGCAAAGTGGTCTTGCACTGAAGCATTGTGTCCTGGAAGGTGTAAGGTGGAAGGAAGTTCAATTACCACCTTTGATGGTGAAAAATATAACCATCCTGGGAACTGTCACTTTTTGGCCATCCACGTACGTAATAACCTGCAACACTTAAGAAAACTGATACAGGCACCAAGCTATTTTTTAGCCAATTTGAAACACGATCTTCACTTTCAATTACTATTTAAATAATAAATGCCAAACAGCCCTTCAATTCCTGGTCATATATTCCTGTATCTGTTTGTTCTCCCATATTGACATTAACAAACAGTATTACCTGTGCTCTTTCCTACTTTTGTAAATGAATTCCTACTTTCCAAAAAAAATGCCCCTTACATCATTAATAATTTTCTAAATACATTGGAAAATTATTTGTTCTACTTTTCTTTGCATGTATTCACTAGTGCCTCAAATGAAACTATCTTTTACATTTTATGATGCATTTTCCTCTTTCATCATTATTCTTTTACATTTATTTTTTGTTTTTATGATACGATATATTAGTGTGATAGAGGTTGTTCTTATATTTAAATTCTCTTCAGTATTAAAATTTTAAGTAATTTGAACTTCAATAAAATGGAGAATTTCATTTTGTAGTTTCTGCCTTTCAGGTAGCATGAGAATAAGTAATTTTATTTAGTCTTCCTGATAAGAAACAAAGTTGAGCAAAATTTGTGATTCCTGAAGCGTGAGGTGTCCAGTAATCTAAGGAATGTAGCTGCTGCTGCTCAAAGTCAGTTTTCCAAATTTTCTTACTATGCTGTTCATGTAATCCATGAGGACATCGGATGGAAAAAGCGAGAGAGAAATGTGCTAAAATGTATAGAATATTTGCTTCTTATAGTTTAGAGATTCCTTGATCTTAAAATTAGAACTGGAAGTCAATGTTCAACTTGAATTCTATTGCGGTTTTACAAATTAAGTATCTCTCACACTGAACTTAAACAGACATTGTGGGTTGTTCAGAGAATAAACAAGCTGGGTTGCCTCTAATTCCCTTTAGTTTATATAATGCAGTATGATTCCCTTGGAAGAGAAGACAAAAAAGTAAAGATAAAGAAAAAACAATCAATATAAAAAACCGTCAATCATAGACAACATAGATAGAGCGGATAGAAGATACTAGGACAATCCGTAAAGCACTTGGTCAATTTTTGGCTGTACCATGGACTAAAATAGGTATCTGTTTTCAGGGCAGAATGAGTGTAGATAGGCATTGTGATGGTGGAAGGAGACTAGACTTTGGGTGGTGAGCTCACAAGGGAAAGCACAGATGTGTTATAAAGCTGTACATTTGAAATGTTTTTGTTACTAATCAATGTTACTCCATTAAATTTAATTAAAAATAAAATGTAAGCATGCATTGTGAATGAATCACATGGTAATAACATAACATATAATCAATGACTTTGTAATAAACACTTAAATGAAATGCAGTTTTTTTAACAGGATAAAGATTGGTCTGTCAGTGTTGAGCTTCGTCCGTGTCCAAGTGGTGTGTCAGGAACGTGCTTAAATAGTGTTACACTCCTCTTGAATTCGGTAAGTCATGAGCTTCCTAGAGTTTATTAGGAGCACAATCAAATCAATTCACAAATTCAGAATTTTTGAGGTTGAAGAAGAGGCTTTCTTATGTAAATTAAGAGCACATATAAGATTATACAGAAATTGATAAAGTCTCTGGAAGAGCTGGAGAGTTCCAGGGATCCTTAAATTTATAAAACTTACCACAGATACACAACTAATGTGCTAGTTATATTGCAATATATCAACCTTATATGCTTGTAAAATTATTAAAATTTGTGGACTATTTAAGAAAACAATTATATTTGTTTAGAATTTTATGTATGAGAAATTAACATTTTAAAGTGAAATAGACCTAAATGAGGAGGGAGAATAATTACCCTGTAGTTTGACCTTTGGGACTTCAGTTATCAGCTAGGGTCTTGAATTCCTCATGTACATATTGGAGACAGAGCGTCCTATACCATCTTCTTCAAAGAGTTGGTGTGAGAAACAATGAAGCAAAGTATGAAAAATGCTTTAAAATTTTTCTATACTTTTATTTATAACAATCCAAATTAAGCATGTTTTTATGGGACAAAATTTCAGGTTCATATATCACATTAAAGTGAAATTACTTTGTAAATTAATATGAACTAATGATGTTTTTTAAATTTTAGTCTGGTTCGGTTGACAAATATGTATTTAATAGAGATGGAACGATCACAAATGACCAGGTTGGAAATCAGCATTATTACTATTCAGGTAAGCTTAATAATACCATTCAAAAATAAATGTAAGAGGCGTTTATTTATTGAAGTGTTAATGATATTAAATGTTTCCATTTTAACATATATTAAAGAATGAAAGCATTTTAAGAAATGTAAAACTTTAGTGTGGTAATCATTGCTGTTAATTTTAATTATTTTAACAGATAAAATACAGATATTCCAGGCATTCTCCTCATACTTGCAAGTAGAAACATGCTTTCATGTAAAAATGCAAATACAGATTGTTCCTGTGATGCAATTATATGTTTCCATGCCACCCAATGAATTCACAGACACTCTAGGTAAGTCCTCTGCCTATGTTGATATTTCTAAGGCTCTAATGTGATCATCATTTTGTTATTCTCAATTGTCTCTTAATGACATTAAACCATAAGGCATTTTTACTTAATCTCCCAATCTTCCTTTTCATATTGCAGTAAAATAATTCCAACTTTCTTTTTATAGTAAGTACAATATTATTTATTACAAAGTACATTTCCAAATGGTTCTCAACAATTTAAGGTTTTTGTTAAGTGACATTTGATAATACATTATATACCATTTTGTTATATATATATATATATATATAATTAAGGTTTTGATCTATAAAAGAGTAAATGAAAGTATTATGGATATAAATCTTTTGAAAATCATGTTTTAAGTGCATTATATCTTGTTTTTCTGTTGATAGACCACATGGTAATGTCTTTTACTGAGGTTTTTCCTATTATAGAAAGCAACTCTTGCATACTGTCATTGATGTCAGACAAAACAATTATGGCAAATCCTATGGTTACTTATATGTATAAAGACTAATTAAGACATTATCTTTTAGATAGCTTCTATAGTTTTGATCTGAGCAAACAACTGAACATGAAGTTAAGATATGAGCCCAAAAAGTTGAGTAGGTAAAGAGATGTTAACCTTTGCCCTGTGCTCTTGTACAGGACTCTGTGGTTCCTACAACAGCAGGGCAGAGGATGATTTCATGTCAAGTCAGAATATATTGGAAAAGTCATCTCAGGCATTTGCTGATTCTTGGGAAATGATGTCCTGTCCTAAAGGAAACCCACCTTCATGCATCAGTATAGAAACAGGTAATGTTAACTGAATGCCAAACTCTGTAATTAAATATTAAGTGCTAAGAATTACATACTTCTTTTGGTAATGATAGGAGGCTATCAGATAATCCTGGTTTTAACTAGTGTTTGCTGTTCCCATTATTAGGGGAAAGAGCAGAGAGAATCAGTCTGGCTGAGAGTATTCCTAGTGAACACATGGGGTTTTGGAGAGGTTATCGCAATTGTATTTTCTATATCTGTTCTTTTTTTACTGTTTTCTCCGTATGTATAGAACAACAGGATTAGAAGAGACTTTGTAGATTATTTGGTTTATTATTCTTTCCTTTTAATTTAGTCATGGAAGTGATCATTGCTTGAAATAGTGAGGCTCACTCTAATCACTGAGCCATTTAACAATACAGCTGTAGCTAGATCCAGGTCTCCCCACCACTGCTCTCAAATATTCTAGTTATACCACACCCCACATTTACTCTTATTAAGGAAACTGTACACTTGGGTGACAGGGGTGAAATGATAACGGTGGTGTGGTGGCTTCATTTATCAACTTGTCAACACAGATACAAGAATATATTTTAAATTAACTTAAATATATTAAGTAAATAATCTGGTTCTATTTTATCATTTGTGTGTTTAAACTGCATTTCAGAAACAGGTTAGCTGATTTAATGCAAAAATCCTAAGCTAATAAAGGTTTTGCCTCTTGCCTCTGTGGTTTAAAGAATTTCTGATGATATCATGGTAGTTTTTATATAGTGATAAAAATTCAATTCATGGTAGCAAAACACTTTTAAAAAATAATTGTCTTAATAAAGAAAAAACTCTGTTAAACATTTATACTTTGTCTTTCAATGAAAAAAAAAATGGCATTATTAATACAATTTGTGGCTGCCTTAATTTTCTTCCAGAAAGGTTTGCTGAAAAGCACTGTGAAATTCTCCTTGATTCAAGTGGGCCTTTCGCTTCCTGTCATCCAGTTGTGAATCCTAAACCATATGAGGAGGTATGTGAGAGTCTAACGTTAACAACTTTTTGGGAATACTTTGATAATATCAAAAGAAGCATATAGATATTAAATTTTTTCAAAAAAAACAATTGGTAGTAGATTAAGATATATGTTTATATTTAACATTGGATTCCACATTTATTCAATTGTTAAATGTACCAACTTTAATTTAAAAATTGGTCCAAAAATGAGAAAAAAAATCTTAAATGATTTTCTCTTTCTGTCTTCTCTAAGTTCTTTGCAAACTCCATTAATAATTGATTTGCAGTTTTTCAAATTTTTAAAAAGAAATATTTTCAAAAGCTTCAAAAATAATGTTTTCAAGTAAAAGGAGTAGTTATGAAGTAAAACATTATACTCAGTTTTTCTGTTCTGAATATTTCCATAATATGATATAAAATTGTTTCTTATTTTAAAGGAATGCAAAAGACACACGTGCACTTGTGAAAATAGTCAAGATTGCCTGTGTACAATTTTAGGCAACTATGCGAAAGCATGTGCTGAGGAGGGAACATACATAGTGGGGTGGAGAACCGGACGATGTGGTAAGAAGGATGAAGCCTTGGGATAATTTTACTTGCTTCTCAGTTTTACTACGACGTGTGTGTGTTGGGTGTGTGTGGTACATATGTGTTTAGGCACACATAGTTACAAATTTGTACTTGGCTCTTTCAAAGATGATTTTTGTTTCTGATGCAGAACATATTGTTAGTTGCCAGAGGCATGGTTTAAAAGAATCTGTCTCCTGGTCCTGGGAAGGGGAGGATGAGCTCTAGGCACCAATGTGGCATTTTGGGAATCAGCGTGACAACAGGCAACAGGAACTTTACAAATATTCATCATCCCTGATACTGTATTTATACTTTTGAGGGTTTACACCAAGGAAAATAATAATTTAAAAATATTAAGAATGTACATTTCTGTTCCCCACTTGTATTGATTACTCCAGATTCATGTCTTCTTTCTTTTTTTGTAATAAAATTCTGATATTCCTTTGGGAATCTGCCCCATCTTCATTGGAGTAAATCTTACCAGAACTATCAATCAAAGCAACCTATCCTCCCAAAGGACAAGGGATTAGCATGTGATTTAAATAAAGTCACTCAGTACCCATATATATATAAAGATATCTTTGAGCAATCCTTGCATTTTTAGTTCTTGATTTATTCCTTTTTTCTTGATAAAACATGTTCATATTTAATAAGAACAAGAAATATATATATATATTTATGTATAAACATGTTTCTGTTTAATTATTGTATGCCAAAATTGAAGTAGTGTTCTTGTTTTACTGCATTTCTAAATATTAGAAATATTAATAACTTGTTTATTAAAAACCAACCAAAAATGAATCAGTAAATTAGAGGTTCGCTGATCATAAAACCTGGCTTTGTTTTAAAATATGCATTGCATGATTTGAATACAACTTTAGAAAATACTTGATTTACAAAAATAACACTTTGTAGAAAAACATCTCTTATAGATCCAACTTAATACTTCATAGACCATTCCCAGTCAATTAGTAAGTTCTGGTAAGCTCACCTCCCAAATTTCTCTAAAATCCATTCACATTTCTCTATATTGCAATCAACCTAGTTCAAGAAACCATTGTTTTTTCTCCTGGGTGACTTCAATAGCCTCCTTCAATATCTCTCTTGGTTGGTTCCCTCTAATCCATTTTAATCCCTCTACAGAGAAATTAGTGTAATCTTTAAAGTAAAACCAAATGAAGCTAACATGATCATGTGAAACTCAGTCTAAAACAAGTCAATGGCTTGTCATGGCTCTAAAAGACCAAACTGCTGAGAAGGGCCCTGTGAGTTCTAACTGCTGACTCTGTGTCTGGGCTTATAACGTCTGTTCTTTTGCTTGCTCTCTAATAGAATGTCCCTCTCTTATAACTAAGGCTGTTTCCCAGACACAGAATTACCTTTCTCTAGGCTGCCTTCAGGCTGTCTCTCTTCTTCATTATGTGCAAGTTCCCAGTTATACACAATTAGAGCTTTTTATCTTGCTTTTTATAACATGTAACACATGTCCTTCCCCCCAGAATATAATCTGCTTGAGAGTAGTCTATTGCCAGTTTTGTTCATGGGCTTTATTTCTAGCAGAATATGTAAACATATACTGGAGACTCACTATTGACTGAAAAAACAAAACAATGAACAACAAGTATTTTTTCTTGATTATAATCTCAATTATGAATAATTTACTATAATATCTATAAATATCAAGTTGAAGTAAAGCTGCTAATTCTTCTGGAGATATATACATACCTCTTTTTTTGTCCCTATACCAACAGATGATTCTTGTCCAAGTGGCCTAGTTTTCAAGTACAATGCAAAAGCCTGCAATAGTTCTTGCCGATCATTGTCAGAAAGAGATAGAAGCTGTGATATAGAAGATATTCCAGTTGATGGATGCACTTGCCCTGATGGGATGTACCAAGATAATGAAGGAAACTGTGTTTCCAAATCTGAGTGTGACTGCTACTTAAATGACAAGGTCATGAAACCAGGCAAACTCATCCATATTGATGGCAATAAATGGTATGGAGATTACATATATATTTGTTATGGTTTTGCCATCCAGGGTCTATCCTTTTCAGGGAAATAGTCTTCTGCTAGTTTGATGTCTTCTTTAGACCTGTCGTATTCTTTATTTTATATTTCTTACTAAGACTGGTTATTGTCTCCTTTAACCAGGAGTTTTCACTGCGTCATCATGGCTATAACTGGTTTATCCTACTGTTTGTGTTTAAATACCAGTAGAAGAATATTTTAGGAGCTCCTACATGCAAAGAATACAAAACAATTTCTTATTCAGACAAAGTTTTCTAGTTGTCTCTGAGCATTCATCATTCCACAAAGCTTATAAAATAAGTATCTACTGTGTGCCAGGCCTTGCGATGAGTGCAAAGATGAGTGAACATTAGTTTGGACTCACAGAGTACCAGGGTGCTGACTATAGTGAGGGGGATTGTATATTATAATATGGGAGCAGAAAGGGCCAGTTGCTACCTAAGGAGATAGGAAAACTCAGAGAAGACCAGCACTTGGGTTTTCCTAAAGAATGAATTTTTTTCCAGATAAAATTCTGCTGCAAACAGTGATTTCTACTAAAATGGACAGAATGAACTAAATAGAAAATGCTTGACAAAATATTGCACATGTAGGTTATTATTCCATAGGATTGGGCTGGAAAGCAGACAGTGGCCAGGCCGTACTCAATTTGTTGTGGTTTCTGCAAAGTGGTTTATCCATATGTCTAATTCCATAGACTGATATAGTAACTGCAAAAATAAAGTAGCCTTTCAAAAAATGCTTTGGAGGCACTTTCTCTGTTTTCTTTAATTCCATGAAAAGTTCATTTAGCAATGAATGATATTTCTTGGCCATTAAAAAGGAAAGCATAACTAACACTTTTTTGTTAGTCCTCATTTCGGGATATTTTTATTCATTTTAGAGAGAGAAGAAGGGGGAAAGAGATGGACAGAGAGAGAAACATCAATGTGAAGGAGAAACATTGATTGGTTGTCTCCTTTACACACCCTGACCAGGGCTCAAATCCACAACCTAGGCATGTGCCCTGACCGGGGATCAAACCCTCAAATTTTTGGTGTATGGGATGATGCTCCAACCAACTGAGTCACCCAGCCAGGGCTAAATAACAATTTTTTTCCCCCCATCAAAGCACACAAATCATTGGTTGGGGTTTGATAATGATACTTTCTCTGTAGAGGATGGCAAATCAGTAGATTACCTTTTTAAAAAAACTTAGGCTACCTCCAAATTATGGTTTTCTTTGGCACCACCCTATTTCAGGCCCCTGTGAACTCTCACCAGCACTACTATGAGAGCTAACTTTGCTGTCCTTTGCCCTGTATCTCTGTCTCTGGCTCATGTTTCCTGCACTAGTGCTAGAATGTCTAACCTAAAGCACTATTTGGATTGTGCCACTTAGCACCTCAGACCCTCGAATGGTGATACAACTGCAGAATAGAAACAAACTTGCATGTTATTTAAAGTCATTGGAAATCTGAACCAATTGACTTTTACCACTTTTTTCTATCATACATCCTACCTGCTATCCAAACAAGTTACTAGAATGTACCTTGTTCTTTCCTGCATCACAGCTTTGTTTCTCATCAGCAATATCTGTTGGATCTCACTCATCCATCAAGATCCAACTATCATGCTAAGTGAAATAAGCCAGGGGGCGAAAGACAAATACCATATGATCTCACCTATAAGCGGAACCTAACCAACAATGCAAAGAAGCAAGGCAAATATGACCAGCAACACTGAAAGGAAAAGAAATCAACAGAGACAAGAGGGAAGGGGGGGCAGGGAAAGGGAAGGGAAGGGGAAAGTCAAGGAACATATAGCAAGGACTCATGGACAAAACCAAAGGGGAAGAGCTGAGGGAGGGAAGGTGGGAGGGGGCAAGGGAAAGAGGGGGGGGAAGGCAGAGACAAATGTATTTAAAAAGTAAATAAATTAATTAAAATATAAAAAAAAAAAAAAAAAAAAGATCCAACTATCTTTTCTATGAAGTTTTCTTTAATGTCCATAAAACCTTGTTTGTACATTCCTATAACACATACAAGGCTATATCTTATAATTTGGTACATTTGTATCTTCTGGGGACTTTGTCTCATTTATACTATTACTTGTGGTAAAACAGGTGGTTCATGAATGAGGGGTTAAAGTTGCTGTAACAGTGTATTCAGATGTTTTCATTGAAGTTTGATGTTTGAGGTGAAAGGATTAGCCAAAGAACATGTATGGACAACCCACAGACACGGACAGCAGTGTGGTGATGGCCAGAGGGACAGAGAAGTGAGGAGAGCGCTGGGGGGAGGTGGGCAAAGGGGGGATGGGAACATCTGTAATAGTGTAAACAATAAGTGCAACATTTAAAAAATAAATATATCATTTTTTTTTTATTTCCAGTGTCTGTCAGGATGGGATTCTTCTTTGTCAGACTCCCATTGATTTAGCCCTACGTAAGTGTCAAAGTTACGAGGAAGGCTTAAGCTACCTACTTTGGTTAAAAAAAAAAAAAAAAGAAACAGCTCAAGAGGCCCTTGATTACCAACTTCCTTTATTTTGCAGAGAATTGCTCTGGAGGGGCTAAATTTGTTGACTGCAGTGATCCTAAGGCACAGAGAAGAGTTGACCGTACATGTAGCACTCGGAACATACCAACTTTTGAAGTAAGTAACATAGCATCAGAGTTGAGCTCTTTAAAACTTTTCACTGTTTCATGGCAGAAGTAACTGAAACACCAATGAATACTAATTAGGTCATATTTATCATGTGTTATTTTGAGTTCTCCAATATTGACACTAAGTGTATACTTGGTATATTTATGTCTTACACATGAGTGCTGGTAAGGGGATGTGTTTAGAACAGTGCCTTATGTGTATTTTGTATTTATTCCTGTAGGATAACTTGCCTTGCAAACGTGGGTGCTATTGTCCAGCAGGAATGGTTCGAAATTCTAAAGGGCACTGTATCTTTCCTGATGACTGCCCATGCTCCTTTGGTGGACAAGAGTATGACCAAGGAAGTGTCACCTCAGTAGGCTGCAACAAATGGTACATAATGAAGGATGACTATTTTATTTGTTTTGGGTATTAGAGAGTATACAGCCTGCTCTTATTTTTATGGGAAAGAAGAAGTCATACTTTGGGATATTTGAAAAAATAATGGTTAAATATATTTAGAAAAATGCTATTTCTTTAAATAGAAACTTTATATATGATGAACATCATCAAATGTACTGAAGAAAACTGCAAAATTTAAATCAACATGAAACATTGTTTAGTGCTTTTTAAATGTTTTGAAGTTTTTTATTTTATCTTTGTTATCCTCACCCAAGGACACGTTTATTGATTTTAGAGAGATAGGAAGGGAAGGGAGAGAAACATCAATGAGAGAGAGAAACGTAGATTGGTTGCCTCTTGCGTGTGCCCCAACAGGGATGGAACCCACAGCCTAGGCATGTACTCTGACTGGGAATCAAACCTGTGACCATTTTGGTTTATGGGGCAACTCTCCAATCAGAGAATCATACTGGCCAAGGCTGTTTTGTGCTTTTTTACAAAGTCAGTATTAATATATAAATCTTGGAATAATATAATTACTAGACGCTATCTTTGCTTTCTTTTAGTACTTGCATAAAAGGGTCTTGGAACTGTACACAAAATGAATGTCAGACTACCTGCCACATCTATGGGGAAGGTCATGTTCAAACTTTTGACAGAAAAAGTTACAGCTTTGATGGTCTCTGCCAGTATTCATTTGTTGAGGTAATTAAAGGGTTTTACCCAGTTTTTCTACATTACTTATTATTTATTGTACATGAGCTCTGGAGAATTTTATTCTCAAAATGTTTTTTTTAAGCCCCTATATGTTTCTCAAAAGCAGTAAAACGTAACATAAGGTAATGCCGACTCTCATGGCAGCTAACCTGGGTTTGAATCCTGGCTCGACCATTTCTCAGATGTGTGGCTTTGTGCACATTCCTTAGCCTTTCTATGTCTCAGTTTCCTTATTTATAAAACAGGGGTGGAAATAGCCCCAACTTGAAACTAAATTAAAAAAAATATTGGCACACATACTAAATGCTTAATAAATGTTAGAAATAATTATTATTTCAAGAACAGCACTATCAGTAGCAATGACAGCATTTTATGAGTGCTTCTTCACCAAGCAAACATGTATTTTATTACATTTAATCATAATAATACTAAAAGGCTGATAGTAGTATTCCTGTGACTCAGGTGAAGAAATGAAGGTTAGAGAGAATAAGCTACATAAATTACTAAGTAGACAATGCCATATTCAAACCTGATTTATCTGATTCCAGAGTTTGTTACATACAACTAAGCTCTGTCCTCAATAATACCTAATGGGTAAAATTTGGATTGTTTTATATTTATGTATTAGTTTTGACTGAATATTAATTTTTATATAAGTCACTAAGAAAAAAATTTACCTTCAGCTATTTGCAGTGCCTAGAAATAAATTTATGATTACAAATTTAGAGAACTTCAATACTTATATATCTATGATATAATTCTAAACCTGTAGAGAAGTAATGAGAAATGGCTGAGTAAAAGTGAGTTAACAAGTTTGGACTCATCCAAGGTTACCGCTGTCTTTTGGAAATCACATAATAAATTACCAGCATATGGTAATTTACTGAGTTTAAGATGTCACTTACTAGGAAATAATTGATGCAAATATTGTAATTGAGTTCCACATCCCTGAGGTTAATAAACTTATCATAATTTAATCTTTAAAGGATTATTGTGGTCATGCAAATGGCACATTCCGTATTTTAACTGAAAGCGTCCCCTGCTGTGAAGATGGCCTCACATGCTCAAGAAAAATCATAGTTGCCTTTCAGGTACAGTGCTACTTCTCCTTAGTTACCTTTTCTCTCAGCTAATGTTGGACAAATAAAACTGTTATAATTATAAATATATATTTTAATTTACAGGATCAGAATGTAATCTTGCATGATGGTAGAGTAACGGCAGTCAAAACTACAGAAAGTAGAGAATGTGAACTCAATGGAAATGCATACTCTGTACATACTGTTGGCCTGTACTTGATTCTGAAGTTTTCCATTGGAATAACTGTGATTTGGGACAAAAACACAAGAATGTCTGTTATATTGGACCCACAGTGGAATGTATGTACATCTCTAATAAGTAATTAATTGGGAAGCAAAATCATTTCTGTTACTGAGAATTACAGACATATGCATAGGTAGAAAGTGAGAGAATGGTAATCCCTGTTATAGAACAAGTGCTCCACATCTATTCAACCTTTGCAAGCAATATGAAATATAATCAAAGATGATAGAATCTGGTAAAAAATAAATGCAGTAAACCTGAGGCACTCTAGTTTAACCATATTTAGTTTTTTGAGATTATTGCATAACTCAATTTTGAGGTAATCAGTGTGTATATAGAATTAGCTGGATTCTTGAGAGCAGATATTCTAAGAACCTAAGAGGATACTAATATGTAATTTATTAGTATACTCTTAGAGCTAGAGGATATAATTTTTTTTAGTATTAGTATTAGTATACTAATAATTTATTAGTATACTCTTAGAGCTAGAGGATATAATTTTTTTTTAATTCTTAAGGTACTTAGTTAATGCTAGATCATTTTATGATATAAGATGTCTTGCATTAAATGGGAGCAGAATCTTATCTATGGATTATAGTTTCCTTTCAAAATTTGAAATTTAAATTAGACTCATGATACTATATAGAAAGAATCATTATCTATTTATCTATGTATCTGTATGCATGTCCCCAGTACAACTCACTTTTAACTTTCTTTTCTGATTTTATCTCCCTATATATTTACATATCTATAGATCTATATCCTTTACAACTTACTAGTTTTCTTTTTTGATCTATATAGGGCAAAGTGTGTGGTCTTTGTGGAAATAGCAATGGAGATCTCAAGGATGATTTCACAACACGACACTCATCAGCAGCTACTGGAGCACTGGAATTTGGAAATAGTTGGAAAACTACTCAAGAATGTTCAGACACAGTAGCTCAAACTTTCCCATGTGACTCAAACCCATACTGCAAAGCCTGGGCTGTGCGGAAATGTGAGATCATCCGAGACAGCACTTTCAGAGACTGCCACAGCAAGGTACCACCGCTCCAAGAGCGAGGAGCCGCGCGCGGTCTGTTCCCTGAGACTCATGCTCTGTCCTCTGCCTAGGTGGACCCCAGTGCGTACTATGATGCATGTATCGCGGAAGCCTGCGCATGTGACATGGAGGGCAAGTACCTGGGATTCTGCACGTCCGTGGCTATGTACGCGGAGGCATGCAGCGCAGTTGGGGTCTGTGTCACCTGGAGAAAGCCCGATCTTTGCCGTAAGTGAAGTCCCTAAATTGATCTTGACAACATAATTAGATAGAATTGTTTTGTTAGAGAAACAATCTTCCTCTCATATTTTATATAGGATATATTTCTTGTACTTAGAAAGGTTTAAAAACCCAAATAAGTTACGATGAAAAAAATACTTATTTTAAAAAACATAGCACCTGGCATACTACATTAAATTTAGTTGTAGTTGCAAAAGTTTTTGTGTTCACAGGAGAAAAATTGAATACTGATGGAAAATATCTCATGGAGACTTATGACCAATAGAAAGTTTACCTAAACTGTTATAGTCATATATCCTTAAGACCTTAGCTCATATATCACTTTTGGTTGAAGTGATTCACTTCACTTCACTCATTATCTTGAAAACTTTTATAGAGCCCTAGCCAAGATGAACTGTAAAATAAATGTAAACTGAATCTTGATATACATGGAAAGTGGTAACTTTAATAGAAATCAGTCAACTCTTCCCTTTAAAGGAAGGTATTATGCGAAAACATGACAAATGAGCAATGTTAAAATTGAATCTTTATTTTACTCAGTTTATTATGCTCAGCATTATAATATATTGAAATCTTTAGTTATCTCATTTTGGACTGCTATTTACATTTTAAAAAGACTAATTTTCTCAGAGATTTATTTTTCTAATTTAACTTCAAACATTAAAACCATAAATCTAGACTATGACCCAAACTATCTCAAAATGGTAAAAATTAATGTTTACTTTTCCACCTCAAGCCAACATGTGTGTGAGGTTTCAAAGAAAGTTCTATTTTGATTCTATATGCTTTCCCCCTTTTTTTTGTGAGCTATTTTTGGCTTTTATAGCAATTTGAATAAATCCAAAAGAAGTCAGTAAGACAGAATGATACACTTTAGTTCTGCTTATTGTTAATATTATTCAAAATCCCTTCTAAAAATTCTTTGGGAAATGAAAGGTGAAAATTGTTACATAATGAATGGAAGTAATATGATGTCATTTGATTACAGCTGTCTACTGTGACTACTATAACGCCCCCGGAGAATGCCGCTGGCATTACGAACCTTGTGGGACAGTGACTGCAAAAACGTGCAAAGATAGAGTTATTGGCCAGAAATTCTCTGCAGTTTTAGAAGGTAAGACAAATTTGAATAATATCCATGAAATACTGCAAATTATATTGATATTTTGAAACTGGAAGTTGTTGTTAGTTCCTGGCAATTCAGTGTCCTACTTTTTGTATTTTAACAATTAGTTATCTTTATAATGACATTGATATTTCCACATTGGAAGCATTTTCTCTAGACAGAAATTATCTGTTTAATGAGAGAGAGAAAGAGAGAGAGACAAAACAGTGCTACAATCCCGTTGCCCATTGTCATTCTTAAGAATGTGATGCCACTTTGCTATTATCAACTTTAGCTCAGGAAATCATTTAGGTAACTTCACAAATACATAATGCAGTAAAATCAGTTTCAGTAGATAGAGACAAACTAACTGCAGGTCGTTTTTACACCAGGTTGTTATGCTAAGTGCCCAGACAGTGCTCCTTATCTGGACGAGAACACCATGCAGTGCGTCCGTTTGTCTGAGTGCAGCTGCTTCTATAATGATGTCATACCAGCAGGTGGAGTGATCCAAGATAACTGTGGAAGAACATGGTACACTTTCTATTGACTTCCTAATAAGCAATTCTGTTTCTTGCATTTTCATGTAGAAAAAAATAATATAAAGTATGTGTATGTGATTTTTAACTTATTTCCAAATGACAAGGCCAGTTTTAGATTTAGTTTTATATCGGGTAAATTAGTTATTTTGTTTTTTCAGTAAACTCACATATCAGCAAATGTTTTGTTAAATCTAACACTGAGAAATGCAGAAAACAAGATGAAATGTCACTATGTAGTTTTAGGTAAAAAGGAAGTTTTAAGTGTATAAATGTATGAGCATGTTCATAGCCTTTCAGACAGTGGCATGGAAGCAAAGAGGTGACATCCATACGAGAGTCCATACTAGAGCAGCATGGCCATCATATAATGTCATGTTTGAAACTGAAGGTGCAAGAACTAACTTCAAAGCTTAACTGCCAAGCATTCCATTATGTCCCAAGAACTCCTCAGTGAAATGATTAGAAATGACATTATGTGGGGAAAAAAACAAGCATTTTGAATCAATAACATGTTATTGGGGAAACAATTATTGACTGTTCTCTTATTTGGTTCTGGTATGATTTTCACTGTTAGACAATTTGTTATTTTAAATTTGGCAGATGCACATGACTTAGAGTTAAAATTTCACTTCATTTTTTTTTTTAATTTAACTTTCAGCTATTGCCTCGCAGGAGAGTTGGTATGCAGTGGTGAGTCATTGCGTTTTACTCTAATTGATTTAGGAAAGATGAGGTAACGGGTCTGGGATCTTCTCAGTGCAGCAACAACAGAGAAGTAGGTACTTAACGCTTTAGATTGCCCCTCAGTGAACTGAGACCATCCTGTTCCAGTGTGTTTGTTGATACTAGGTCACTTCAAATCCACTGCTGCCAAAGGCATCACAAAGACTGGCATGGGGGCACTTTTCCTGCTGCATGTGTGCCCTGGGCTATTTATAGGTTCTGGGAATTAAGGGAGTGAGACATCAGCCCAAATAGTTTAGTAAAGCGGTGGAGTGGAAGGCGAGGGTTAGTATAGATAGATTTACATAATGGAAGACTTGCTCATGAGCAATACGTCTTAAAAATAAATTCAATAAGCTTCAAAAGAATACATGAACTACTCCTTTTTGTATTAGTAATATAAAAGAGACAGATAACTTATAGGCAACTTGAGATTTAATTCTTTTCATGATTTTGCATTAGTAATAGTAATTTATGATTATTTCAGGAACTGCTTCTAAAAATTCACCCTCTTCAGGTAAAATCATCATTATGTTTTAAATATTCATTTCTGATTTCTTTTTGTGGATAGTTTTTATTGTATCACATGAGTCTATACTAGTAAAAGATATGCTGGTAAATCTGCTAATAGAAAAATTTCAGATTAAAAATAAGTTACTAGAAAATATGTCAAAAATAAATTACTAGAAAATGTCATATTCCTGTGATAAAGTTAGGAATATGATTGGAACATACTACAGGTATTGTATGCTTATTAGCTAAATGTCATAATCCAGAGCTTGGCACTTTTAGATAATAATTGGAATAAATGGAATGACAAAGGAGTAAATTGGTCTTCCAAGAAATAAATATTTTAAAATCATGATTACCCTGGGAGGTCATTTGAAAACATAGAAATAAAAAGTTAATTCCTCTTTCTTAATGTATGTATTTTCTGTAATCTATAAGTGCATTTTACTTATGTCCATTCAAGAGAGTGCTGGGCAAAATACAGTTTCAGTGTGGTTTGGGGACTTTCAACTTACTGGCACTCTGAGTACACCTAGAGCGGCTGCAGAACACATACATATTCCTGTCCTGTGTGATGCAAGGAGCGGCTTTATTTACTGTTGATTGATATTTGGAGATAGTACAGTAAATTAGAAACCTTAGGTTTTGATAATATATTTGAAGTTATGTGATAGTCTGTAAAATGCTATTCAAATTTTAGTTATTATTGGTCACTTAAAGCTAAAGTATTACGTATCAAGATTCTGAACCTTATTTCTTGACCCATATATAGAGCTTATAAAGTTCTTGTGAGATTTTGGTTAAGTGGTACTAATTGAAAATAATTATTTTTGGTAGACATGCAATAAATACATAGTGCTCTTTTGATTTAAATGGAAGATTGTTTTATCACTTAACCTCTGAACATAATTTCAGAAAAATTTTATTTGGTTTATGGCAACTGGTTTCTTCAACTACATTTCCCAGAAAAAATTACTCAAGTAATTTATTTTGATAAATATTGTCTTCTTTAGACAGTTTCTACTACAACAGCTACTTTCATATTAAACAACAAAGAGGGTAAAAATAAATACTTCTTTGTGTTTTGGCTTCTAATTAGCAGCAAACTGAATTTGTCATTCAGGCCTTTTGGCCCTATTTCCAAATGCATCATCCTCTCTTGATTTATTTCTCAAATGTCACATATTAGACCTACATCTACATTGTAATATGAGTGAAAATCTCTATTTGGAGGGTATGTGTCCTAAAAAAAATACTCCATGTACTACTAATTTAGAGAAACTGGGTACTGAAGAAAATTCTATGCTTAATTCTTTGAAAATAATTTATAATTTATTTTTTTACTAACGTCAAATAATTTTAACTTTAATTGCATGATTTGTAATTAAAGTAGTGGCTAGTAGGCTACAAAAATACATTAAAATGTGTGAATATCTGATAAATGAGTTTAACTGTAATATTTAATCATTTATTTGCATTCTAGAGATAAGTAAACATTTCCTTCAACACCATTTTAACATACATATCCAAATATTTGTCTCCTCCTTTGTATAGCATTCCCACTGGGAACCAGTAGCTCAGGCACAGGTAAGCCATAATATCCAATCACAACTTAATCAAGGGAGCATTAAAAAAAATTCAAAACTTCCCTTTGCTGTAGCTTACCTTTACAGTGGCGTATTTGGGGAAATTATTTTTTTCATTTGTTTTGTTTTTAAGAATGGTTTAGAGGAAGAATTTAGAAAAATGTTATACAAATGATTGGTTTTTTGACTTTTTACTTCTGTTCTAAAGATTTTAAAATTTTAATTTCATATTTTAACATCTATTCGGCAATATAATCAAATTTGTCTGGAACATTTATTTTGGTATATTTTATGTATGACCATAGATATTCTCAGAAACATAATTTTTCCCTCTATGCAAAACTTACATTTTTCAATTATTTTCTTTAATTCAGCGGCTTTCATGTCAGGGTTTACAACATCAAGCAATGAAACAATAGGTAGGTAAATTAAAAGGGCCTATTATATGACAAAGTTCCCTATACTTATGACCTTATCTTCCCCTGACTGAACACTATTTCTCTTTCTCCTTTTCTTTCTCCTTCCTTCCTTCCTTCCTTCCTTCCTTCCTTCCTTCCTTCCTTCCTTCCTTCCTTCCTCCCTCCCTCCCTCCCTCCCTCCCTCCCTCCCTTCCTTCCTTTCCTTCCTTCCTTCCTTCTTTCCTTTCTGCCTGTATATGGATACTTAAATCCATGATATTTTATGGAGGTATAATCAAGATATAAATTTATATTAGTTTCAGATATACCACATAATGATTTGATATTTCTATATATTGAGAAATGATCATAGTAAGTCTAGTTAACATCTTTTATGTCATAGACCATGGATTGCCGTTTTTGTATTCCCAATTGCACCTAGTTACAATCTACATAACAGTTAGCTTTCGCTAATTTTTCCAGTATTACAAGGAGCAGAAGAAAAAGAAATTTGCTGGCATGATGTAGACAATTAGGGTTTTTTGAGATTTGGAGGGGGCAGCTTTTTGTTATTATCTTTTTTGTTGGATAAAGTACTTTTGATCAAATACTGGATCAAAGACTTCACTGAATTAAGTACTTTTCACTGGCCACTAGCTTTTTTTGTTTTACCAAAACTTGAAAGAATTATGTAAAATATTTTAAATTCTTTTTCATAAATTTAACAGAATGGAGATTTCTTAGAAAACTAAAAATAGATCAAAGATATGACCCAGTAATTCTATTACTGGGTATTTATCTGAAGAAAACAAAAACACTAAATCAAAAAGGTATATGCACGCTTATGTTCAGTGCAGCACTATTTACAATAACCAAGATACAGAAACAGCAACATGAATGGACCTAGTTTTGTGTTAAGTGAAATAACTCAGACCAAGAAAGAAATATCAAATGTTTTCACTTCTATGTGGAACCTAAAAATAACAAAACAAAAACAAACTCAGAAACAGAGGGATGGCTACAAGAGAGAAGGGGATGAGGGAATGGGTGAAAAAGGTGAAGGGCAATATAATCAGTAACATTTTGTGATAAGTTTGCATGATGACAGTAGATTACTGGAATTAGTGAGGTGATCACATTGTAAGGTATAAAAATGTTGAAGCACTGTATTATACACCTGAAACTAATATAACTGATCTAATATTGTATAATAACTATACTTTTTATAGTTTTTTAAAAAGGTACTAATGAAACCTGTCTCTCAGAACAAATGAATGAATGAATAAATAAATAAATAAATAACCCCTTTCTCAGATGGATCAAAAGTATTACTGCCAGATAGGGGAAAGAGGATGGATGATTTATTTGACTTTACACTGCAGCATCTTGGATAGTAGAGGTATAATTTCATTGTTGCACATGTCGTTGAGGTAAATATCATAGGTAAATATCATATCCTGTGCACTTTTGACAAATTTAGAAAAACATTACAGAAAGCTTTAAAAGCGTAAGGGAATCAATACACAAAGCTTATGCTTTTTTTCATGTTTTGTATATTCATTTTCTTTGCTATACAGTAAATGCTTCAAAGGGTTAAAATACCATGAGAGATGCCTAGCCATCCACTCCAATTGAGTATGTCATTTTTTAGAAAAAATATGTAATTGTTTTTTTTCTATTTGCATCTACAGATATTGATGCAGAGCTAACATTTACTGAGCATAGGTCTGATAATATGTGACACATATTATCACATTTGATACAGAAAACTCTATGAAGTGGGTCCCGTTATTTCCCCCAATTTACACATGAAGAAATAAAAACACAAGGAGGTTAAGCTAAGTGTCCAAGTTACTTGCTAATAAGTAGCAGAGAGAGGATTAAAATTCAGGACATCTTTTCTAGATTCCACTCTAATGCTTCTGTCTTTTTTTTTTTTTTTTTTTTTTGAATTTTCCTCTTGCTTTATTTCTTTATTTTTTTAATTTTATTTTAATTTATTTTTTCAAATACATTTGTCTCTGCCTCCCACACATCACTTTCCCTTGCCCCCTCCCTCCTTCCCTCCCTCAGCTCTTCCCCTTTGGTTTTGTCCATGAGTCCTTGCTATATGTTTCTTAACTTTCCCCTTCCCTTCCTTTTTCCTGCCCCCCGCCCTTCCCTCTTGTCTCTGTTGATTTCTTTTCCTTTCAGTGTTGCTGGTCTTATTTCCCTTGCATCTTTGTATTGTTGGTTAGGTTCCGCTTATAGGTGAGATCATATGGTATTTGTCTTTCGCCTCCTGGCTTATTTCGCTTAGCATAATGCTCTCCAGTTCCATCCATGCTGTCGCGAAGTTTAGTAGTTCTTTTTTTCTTTCTGCTGTGTAGTATTCCATTGTGTATATGTACCATGATTTTTTGATCCAATCATCCACTGATGGGCATTTAGGGTGCTTCCAACAGTTGGCTATTGTAAATTGTGCTGCTATGAACATTGGGGTGCATAGGTTCTTTTGGATTGGCGTTTTGGTGTTCTTAGGGTATTGTCCCAACAGGGGAATCGCTGGATCAAAAGGCAGTTCCATTTTCAGCTTTTTGAGGAAATTCCACACTGCTTTCCGCAGTGGCTGCACCAGTCTGCATTCCCATCAACAGTGTACTAGGGTGCCCTTTTCTCCACAGCCTTGCTAGCACCTGTTGTTTGTTGATCTGTTTATGATAGCCATTCTGACCGGTGAGAGGTGGTACCTCCTGGTGGTTTTGATTTGCATTTCTCTGATGGCTAGTGATGCCGAGCATCCTTTCAAATTTCTCTGGGCCCTCTGTATCTCCTCCTTGGAAAAGCGTCTGCCCAGGTCCTTTGCCCATTTTTTGATTGGATCGTTTGTCTTCTTGGAGTGGAGTCCAGTGAGTTTCTTTATATATCTTGGAGATCAAACCTCTATCTGATGTATCATTAGCAAATATATTTTCCATTAGGGTTGTCTCCCTTTTCATTTTGCTGATGTTTTCTTTTGCCGTGCAGAAGCTTCTTATTTTGATGAGGTCCCACTTGTTTATTCTTTCCTTTATGTCCCTTGCTTTAGGAGACATATCAGTGAAAAAATGGCTGCGTGGGATATCTGAGAGTTTCCTGCCAATGTTCTCCTCTAAGGCTTTTATGGTGTTGCGACTTATATTTAAGTCTTTTATCCATCTTGAGTTTATTTTTGTGTATGGTGTCAGCTGATGATCCAATTTCAATTTTTTGCATGTAGCCGTCCAGCTCTCCCAACACCATTTGTTGAAGAGGCTCTTATGGCTCCATTTTATGCTTCTGCCCCCTTTGTCGAATATTAGATGCCCATAGAGACCTGGGCTTATTTCTGGGCTTTCTATTCTGTTCCACTGGTCTATGGGTCTGTTCTTGTGCCAGTACCAGATTGTTTTGAGTATAGTGGCTTTGTAGTAGAGTTTGATGTCCAGTATTGTGATCCCTCCTACTTTGTGTTTCTTTCTCAAAATTGCTGTGGCTATTCGGGATCGTTTATGGTTCCATACAAATTTTTGAAATGTCTGTTCTATTTCTGTGAAATACGTCATTGGTATCTTAATAAGGATTGCATTGAATCTATAAATTGCTTTGGGTAGTATGGACATTTTGATGATATTAATTCTTCCAATCCATGAGCACAGTATATGCTTCCATTTATTTGTGTCTTACTTAATTTCTTTTTTCAATGTTGTATAGTTTTCTGCGTACAGGTCTTTTACCTCTTTGGTTAAATTTATTCCTAGGTACTTTATTTTTCTTCTTGCTATATCGAATGGTATTTTTTCTCTGATTTCTTCTTCTTCTATTGTAATGCTTCTGTCTTTTGATGTTTAAGAGAGAATAAAGTTGGATTTAATTTAGATCCATTATGCATATAATTTCAGATTCCAATTTCAAAGTGGAACTTGTGTCACAATTTATAACTTGTTTAGTAAGTTTGTATTAAAAATAATTAAAAGTCATTGACTGTATAGGACACTGATTCATAGAATTAAAAATTAGGTTTTTTTTACATAACAATGTGATATCTTAAAATGCATTTCTCTTTTCTCAGAAATTTAAATCTCAGAATGTTATAATTATAGGTTATATAGAAATTTTTAACTTTATTTTTTGTATAATATGCTTATTCTAAAATAGCACCAATCATATAAATAAAATAATTATATCAAGCTATTACAGAGAGCCTGCTGTATGTAGAGGGAAGTTAAAGCAAATAATTAAGAATCTGAATCCCTTTACTTCTACTTATTGGCTGTATGACCCTAGTTTAGGTTCCTCAAACACTGAACATTACTTTTCTCATCTGAAGTGGGAAAAATGTAATATCTACATTACAGGAGAGTAACTGTTACTGTCCACTTAGTGTAATACATAGTAATACTCAAAGTCAACTTTATTCCTAGTAACATTTGATAAAGAATAATTCATTATATACATGAATTTAGATTTTTAGCAGAGACTTTTAATATCTTTCAATAATTAATCAGAAGCATGATGCTTCCTGAATTAATAATAAGTTTATAGATTTTGATTTTTTTCCCAGAAATAAGATATTTTACAAAACTGTAAACTCTGCAGTACTGAATTTATTGTTTATTCGAGAAAATGTTATGGATATTCCTTAGGCTTATCTTTCAGACATTTATATTTAAAAAAGGAATCCATTGAAGGAAAATGGCAACATAATTTTTCTGTAAAATTAAAATGGTTCTCAGAAGTAATGAGAAAAACTTAGTAGTAGGTGGAAAATTAATTGCAAGATTTTATTTTGATTACCATGTTTTGCTGTGCATAATGTGTACCTTTTTTGCCCAAATGTTTGAGGGAAAAATAAGAATGTACATTATACATGAGTAGTACCTAAAATACCTTGTATCTGTTCTTGTGTTTTGTAATTATTCATTATGTAAAATTTCTTGTATCATAATATGTTCAAAAATAAGTGCTAAAGTTCCTTTATAATACAAAAAACAAGTATCTAAGTATAAATAAATTAAAAATTGAATTAAAAAATTAAAAGGAAAGATTTTTTTTTTCCCTGAAAGATTGGGCCAAAAATGTGGGTATAAATGGGAGTATTTGTAGTAGAGTTTGATGTCCATGCACGGTATACATGGGAGTGCATTATACATGGCAAAATGTGGTAATAAGCTTATCATGAGGTGGAAAATAAATATGATTAAAATAATAAAATAAATTATTTTATCTTTATAAAGTTTTTCATGAGATAAAAATAAATGGACACCATCACTTTGAAAATTTTTAGGGTGAATTACTATCTCATAATGTACAGAGCTGCCAATATTTTAATAAAGGCTGCTCTTCCCTTTACTGTTTATGTTTTGGTGACAAGCTGCTATGCAGCAATTCACAATATCAAGTACATTATCATGTATGTTCATTTGCTGGTAATGGAAAAATCAATGGAATTGTAGTGGTTATGGATGTACTTAGTAGTAATTAAACCATGAAGAAAAGAGGATTTTCATATATTCCTATAAATAAAGGCTTATCCTTACTTTGTTGTAGTGTCAACAATTTTAGACTTATGTCGTTTGAAGTTCACTCATAGGAAAAGGGAGCTATGTTAGCGTAGCCCCGCAGGTGTGTGACTTCAGTCTGTGACTAGTTGAGTTAACTCTTATGGCCCTAATAAAAGAGGAGTCCTTGAAATTCACTTTGGAGTATGTTGCCATGTTAACTATACCAATTACAAGGACAGGTCTATAAATATGTTTTCTCATTCATGTGCTAAAAATATTTGTGATTCATTCTCTACCATTTATCGTCTATGACTGTGTTCCCCTTAAATCCATGTTAATCAGAGCATATTCAAATTAATCAGAACATGTGTGGAAATTCTGGAGAAGATTTTATTTTGGTCGATGTGATGATACTGCTTTTAATTAAATGTAATGTTTTCAGTTTGAAAGGGCTCAAATTAGGGTCACTGGAATTCCTTGGAGGTTAAATATGTACTGGGAAATGGAATCTGCACTAAAATATTTTGAAGTCTTGGAGGACTTTGTGGACCATGAAATAGTAATCTTTCTATGCTATCCTTGCATCCAGATCAGCAAGACATTTTCATTCAAATGTTCAATTTTGAGTTCATTAGTAAGAAAAGATATCAATATCTGAACTGGTCTGTTAATGGAGTCTGCTTGAGACTGACTTAAAAACCCTTTGTAATTAAAGCTTGGTACTAATTTTGAGAATTTGCACATAAACCTTCACAGAAACTAACATTTTGTGAAGCAATTAGAGGAGACATGATATTTTATTATGTATTTAATATATTCTATAATTCTAGTCTAATTTATAGTATTATTACTAATATTGTAAAGGGCAATAAAAAACAAAAACTGCAAGAAGTGGTTCATCATGCATAGAGGCACCACTACACAAAAAGCTTTATGGGTCACATAAGTAGGTACTAGGTGACTTAGATTTTAGTCCTAGCTTTATCACTGAATAGAAGTGACCTTGCAGAAACTAGTTCCCTTTTCTGAGCCCAATTCTTTACATAAAGAAAAATTACAATACTTTTATTTCATTCATTCATTCATATGTCCATTCACTCATTCTATTGACAAATACGTATCAAGCACGTATTATGTACTAGGCACTCTGATGTTAGACATACAAAGGTGAGTTAAAATAAACATGCTTCCTGCTTTTATAAAACCTATAGTTTAGTCAGGAAGATGGATATCAATTAAATAATTACAAAAACATAACAACTTGCATCAAGAGCTATGAAATGCTTAAAATGTGGATGAGGAGGGTGGAGCAGGGATTTAATTAAGTCAAGATGGTCAGAAAAGCTGAAGTAAAGCTGACTGAGTTGAGAACAGACCAATGAATATTTACATAGACACAAAGAGAGAAACTGCGCTCCAAGCAAGGACGGGAAGTGCAAACAGCAGGAATGAAGGACTGAAAGGCGGCCAGTGTGGCCGCATACAGTGAGGGTCAAACAGCTATATTGTGAGGTTTTCTCCTCCTTTTTTAAGTTAAAAACCACTATACAATAGTGAAGCAACATTACCGCATAAACTAGATTTCCAGAGATATTCAGTAGAAATTAAGACTGAAATATAGAAAATAGCTGATTCTTAATTATTTATGAAAACCAGAATCTAATGAAGGCTTACTTTCAAGTCCACAGACCTCTCTCAACAAACACTTCATTATTTTTTAAGATTTTATTTATTTATTTTTAGACAGAGGGCAAGGAAGGGAGAAGGAGGTGGAAACATCATTGTGGGGCTGCCTCTCAGGCACCCCCTACTGGGGACCTGACCTGCAGCCCAGGCCTGTGCCCTGACTGGGATTCAAAACAGAGACCCTCTGGTTTGCAGGCCAGCACTCAATCCACTGAGCCACACCAGTGAGGGCTCTCAACAAATATTTTATAATTTCCTACAACATTCCTGCTAATATAAGGCCGGCATTGGGAATGCAAAGATTAAATCATGGTCTCTTCCTTCAGTTTGTTGGTAACTTCAAATTTATCTCTACAAGCCTGCTTTTTCAAATCATTAAAAAAAAATCCTAAAATGTATTTCTCCTTTCCCTCACCTCAAATTCTTATAGACTAAATGCTGCTTTGTAGAAAAATATTGGATGCACAGATAATCAGAAGTAAAGTCAAAGAAACAAACTGCAAAATCAGCCTCTGCTTAACAAGAATTAACTTTATTGTTGTTGATATACAGGGATGGGCAAAGAAGGTTAACAATAAATAAATAAATAATAAACTCTGTGTTTCAAATATAACTAATAAACCTACTTTGCCCACTCCTGTATATTTATTCTATTTACTCTTTATTTAGTATAATTCAGCATATATGTACGTACATATTTTACACATTATATACATTGGAAAGCATAATGCCACTATTTAAAGATAAAATAAAAATTTATTATTATTCTCAACACTAAATATATAGCAAACTACTATCTATTAAAGGCTAACAAAGGAACAGCCTTTCTATATTTTCCCTTGAGGTCAGAAAATTCATATTATTTCTCTTTTCCTTATCAGAAACAACTCTAAGTATACCCATTGAAGCTTTGACTACAGGTTAGTATATTAATTCCTGGTTTTATATGTTAAAAAATAGCTAACAGTATTAGTTATTAATAACTTTGGGTTTCTAAGAAAAAAATTATATGAGAATTTGTCTTTTGAAAAAATATTTCAAACAAGTAGTTTAATGGATTTTTTCCACTGGTTTTTAAATTTTTTAAAAATGAATTTAACTAGTTTTTGGCCAATTTATATTTATTGACTGTAATATGATTTCCAGTTTTATTTTTTGCATATTATTAACTATTAGTAGAGCATCTATAGCAGTACTAAATGACATCAAGCTTAAAATTTTAAAAAAAATATATAAGATGAGAGAAAATGTATATCTAATGATACATTGCATTCTTTTAGGTGTTTTAAGTATAAAAGTAACAATTAGCTACTTCACGATGGTATTTCATTCTTGTTACAATTAACCCTGAGTGACAGTGTGATTAGGTTCCATTTCTTTGACAGCAACCTCGTTGAAACAAAATCGTGAAGACTTAGTGTGACCGCATTATTGATACGGAGAACATGACTTTGTTAAAAAAAATAGCAAAGACTAAACCAAAACTTCGAGAAAAGTGTAATCAAACTAGCCAAAAGAGAGCTCATGCCCACCTGAGTGCAGCAAGTCATTGAAACTGACACTGGGTTTTGCAGTGAAGTTAAGCTATTTTATTGAAATGGTGCCACCTAGGAGAAGGGAAGCTAGTGCTCAAAATCCTGACTTGCTCATGGTTTACAGACGAGAGGTTTTATAGAGCAAAAATCATAAGTAATCACGAGTAAGGGGTTTGGGGGCTGATGGGTCCTAGATTTGGTGAGCAATTAATTATCATCTTCCAGCTGTCCTCTAGTCTGGTTCAGTGAAACTGTGGGGGAGGTGGTCATTCAACGTTGTGGGCTGAAAAACATCTTAATGATGCATGTCAACACATCATTAAGTTGCGTTGGTGTGCTATAAATCATGTGACCCTTACTCATTGTATGCTGTTATTATATCTGCTGTTTTGATTATTTGTTTTAACAGCAGCCTAAAGGTCCTGGGCTAAGCAATTTCTATATTGGTTTTCTGGGGGCTACACTACTTCCTTCTTGTGGCTGTTAAAAAAGCTTACAAACCTATTAGGTATTAACAATATTTTTTTAGGGTATTAACTCTCCAGCTTGAAAAATAACATTAGAAAAATATCATAGGGAACTCTGGGCAGAGACTCACTGTGTTCTGGATTCTATATTATGTAGTAGGGATTGGGTTACCAGTTATGTTACCCGTGGTAACAAAGCTCAAGATTACTTGAGATGGGTTCATTTTCTGTTTTTCTCAGGCATTACAAAAACTCAGTTTCCTGTCACCTTCACAGCTGGAAGTGCAGGAATGACAGAAGTAGTGGGTCCCCTCTTCACTAGTCCTTGGCATATATCAGGTACATTGAGTTCAGAACACAGCACATAGCCACATCAAAGCACCTGGTTTCAGGCAATGCTGCTTAGTACAATATTTTACAAAATAAAGACAACTGATTTAGGTGTAATGACAGATGTAGGTGTTCTTTATAAGCAATTAAAGTCTAGAGTCTTTAGTTTTTTCTCAGCTTGGTTCCATAAAGTATATCACGTTGTTAGAATGATACAGGCCCATTACCTGGAGTGTGGATAGCATCCATGCACCTTTTATGAGCATGCGTTTGTTTTTCCTTTACCTTCATCAGGGGCCACAGGAGCATCAGCAAGTGGAGCCAAAAACAAAATTACAGGTGACACAGACTTCAGAGAAGGTGAGATAAAGAAATGAGTCACATGCTATTTTTGCATAGTTTCTTCTAAAACGTCAGGCTGTGTTCAAGTCAGGAACAATGGTACCCTGAGTACAGCATTAGATAACAGAAGTCCATGTCTGCATTGAGTCAACTAGATATTTTTGAAAAATATTCAACACTTAGTCTTCATATATTAATAAAATATTGGTGATAGATTTCTATTGTATACTAAAATTTGTGAATTATGGTCAAATATATAATGAAATTTAATCCACATAAAAACCATGGACTAGAGTCAATGGATTGCCATTAAAATAAAATGATAAAAGTTCTCGAAGCTGGCAGAAGCAGGGAATAGGTCTCCGAACTCTCTGTCGTTGTTCCACAGTTCCCTGATCTATGCGCAAGAGCATACATGCCGAACCAATGAAAACAAAACCCAAAAAGCCAAAGCCAGGTGAGGATAGGCTTGCCCTTGTGCATCACTGGCTGAATTTCAGCTATTGTTAGATTCATGAATAAAACATACTTGTTATTCCTTAAGCAGAGATAATTTTGATTAAATGAACAAGACTTAGTTCACCACTTACCCCTTATGGAGTCAGTTAGCGTGCGTACCTCTTGCATTTTCTCCTCTTCACCGCATTGCTCTGCTGGAGCTCCCATGTTAGACATTTTCCGCCGGGTGTCTGCAGCGACTCGCCAGACTCCCCTCACCTGCACGCAGCGGTGATCAGTGAGCCTCCCAGACCAAGGGCATCAACATCTCCAGAGAACAGTTTAGAAATGCAGCTACTGAGGTCCGCCTCTCTGGAACCAGAAGCACTTAGAGTGGAGCCCAGCACGGAGTATTACTCAAGAAGCCCTTTCAGCAGTTGGTGATTATCAAAGTTGAGACCATTTCCATTCTCCACTTCCCTCCCAGTCTACACTTTCATCACTACCATGGACTAAATGGAATAGACTCCAAACACTCAGCTGCCATCATGTGATTCCACTACTTAAAATCCTTCCATCGTTCTGATTGCTATTAGGATAAAAGAAAGTTCCCTTCCATAAAACTCATAGCCATGTCTTTAGAGTAATGCGTGGGGCTTCACATTATGCGTTTATTTACTAATTCGTGGTCTGAATTATTAATTAATGGTCTGATCATGTTTATATACATTTATTTTCCTTTAGCAGTCTTCTTGATATAAAATTCATGTCACATATTTTTGAAACAAAATATATTTACATAAAAATAATGTATTAAAAGTTAGAAACTATCTAGCAGAGATTAAATAGTGGTAAATTTCCCTTAGAGCAGTGAGCTGACTGAAACTTAGGGTGATGAATGTTTAGTCTACATTCCCTAAAATTTGAAAAAGAATTACTTAGGTAATAATGACAAGTCAGTCAGGTGTTCTTCTTTTGGTCACCAACGGTTAGTACAGTATTTCACACAGGGCTACGGAAGGTTTGGTCCAGGAAGGAGTGCCATGGACTTCAGTTCGTCCTGCTCCATGCAGTGATAAGAAGTGAAACAGCAAACAGGAACTTAGAAAGAGCAAAATTACGCAGCGATATTGTACCACTTAAATAAATTTGTGTGTTTTGGATAATTTAATTTTAAATATATTTATTTCTGTCCTTTATGGCATTTCCCCCCAAAACCAAGGACAGATTGTGATGCTGAAAGCATTGCTCTCTTACCATGGACTGTTTGAGAAGCAAAGATGTGAGTGGGATCTCTGGGGTCGATGGCCTGGGTGTGGCTCCTGCACATGCTGCCCACCGCCCCAGGGACCTGGCGATGGCGGTCCACCGCATCTGTCACATGGAAGAAGAATATTACTTGCCTCAAAAGATTGTCATAAGATTAATTGAGTAGATTCATGTCTAGGGCATTTTTTAAACTGCCATATGTATTTTTTTCAGCTGGATCAGGGGCCCCGACTGCACCCACAATAGGACCTGAGGAAGAGACCTCAGCCAGTAAACCAAGCCCAGGAGCGACAAGCCCAGGAAAATCAGGCAAGGCAGGATGGACACCTCAGCGCCTACTCAGTGGCACTGAACATGTGACAGGTTGAACTAAGGATTAAGCTGTGGGTGACTTCAGACCATCAAGTTGCAGAAATCTTAGGCTCCATTTTAAGATTACGATTGCGTAGGAAACCTCGGTTATCGTGTCCCAGTAGAAGAGCGACAGGCAGAACCCTGCAGCTCCCCGAGGAGTGGCCCTTCCCTGCCGTTGTGTCAGGGACCTCAGAGAAAGAGAGAAACACAGGGGCTGGGAGGAAAGGCCCAGGAGACTCGCCGGCCCCAGGGGCACCCTAGGGAGCCCGAGCAGCTGTGGGCACAGGGGTCTGCAGCATCTGCTTGCTGACCTCAGGGAGGTCAAAACCAAGTTGTTAGTTATTGGTAAAGGCACATATTCGTGACTGCACCTTCCCGGCCCTTATGGGCTTACCTGTGGTGGATCTCTCACATATGCTCAGAGGTGGCTTAGAGCAAAGCATATTGTATTTTGGATTCCAAAAATCTTACCTGATAAATTCCTAGGCTCTGAGGTGGGGTTCCGGATGTGGTGTGCAAATGGATGTGACCAAAAAGTGTAAACTGCTTTGGAAGAAGAGAACAGTAAAATTTGTTCTGTTTACAAACATCATGATATATGCTTGTTGGTTATTTTCAAAGGGACTGCAGGACCCTCAGCTGGTGAACCGACTAGAGCACCAGTCAGTGAAGTGACACCATCTGAAACGGGCACCTTAGGTGAGTGGAGGTGTCATTCAGAGGCTGTGTCATTTATCACAAGGGCCACGTTAAATCAGAACCATGATGATTTCTCTCAAATTACTCAAATACCATCCACCAAGCGGTGTAAATCGGTAGAAAATGATTAACATTTTCAAGAATTTTTTCCTGATTTCTCCACATCTTCCCCTCAAAAGCAGTCAGCATCGGACTGTGCCCAAAACGGACCTGCTCCCCCCACACTGTGTTAATCGGGGGTACCAGCGGAGTCTTGAAGTTCCTGTTGGAACTGGCAGGAGCAGCTCGGCTAGACCTTGGGAGCCAGCCCAGCAGGGGGCAGTGCAGGCAGCGTGCAGGCTCACCTGGCACTTTCGGGGTGCTCCGTCATGAGTGTAGCAGAGACCCCAGGTCTTACGAGGAGTTTAAGTGAGTTTAGTAATGGCTATTACTTTAACGGCCCTCATTTTAGGATAATAACTGTCAGTAGTGGGAACAATTTTAATACAACCACCGCTGTAGACTAGAATTGCCAGATAAGATACAGAATGCCATTAACTTCTGTATTAAACACAAATAAGGGATAACTTTTTTAGTATAAATATGCCTGATGTAATCATTAGTGCATGGTGGTTTGTTGCTTAATTCAGATTCAAATGTAAGCGGGGTCCAGTATCTCTACGTGCTGATCTGGGGATCCCAGTGCGGACCGACCACGGCTGTTCTTTCGCCTGGGAGCCTCTGGAGGGGGAAACGCAGCCACCACTCGAGCTGCTGGTGGAAAGACTTTGGGAGCATCAGGGACTAAATAACACAGTCAGAATAACACTGGATAAAAGACATGTGATTTTCTAACTCAAAATGTGGTCGGAGATAAGATTTCCTGGGGAATGTAATTATTCTTGGGTGTATAATGTAAAAACAGAAGAAGATCAGAAAAGAAGTAAAGGATACTTTTGATGAGAACAGGACAACCAAGAATAAGCAACCTTCCAAAATACTACCGCGAGTAAACACTGCTGCTAGAATCCATATGATGCAGCGAAGTGAGTGAATCACCGAACCTCTGTCATCTCAGTTTTCTCATCTGCAAAAGGGGGCAATGTATTCTGTTGAGTTCGATTGTGATGAAGATCCAATGCAGCAAGGAATGAGTGCATGTCCAAGCACATGTTTGGAAACGTATGAAATTGTTATTATTATTATTATTCTTAATACAGGAAAACAGATTTCAGTATTCTTCAGTTTGAAGCTACTCTAACTCCGAATGGGTTATCTCATAGTTTAAGAAATTCTGTGAATGAGCTCTTTTCATTTTTCCTTACAACAGGTACCTCTGGGCCCTCAGGTGGTGCCACGGGTGGAGGTGAAGGTACACCTGAGTCTCCCAGCAGTGGGGCTACAAGTTCTTCAAATAAGCCAGGTGAGATAAAGGAACAGAAAAGAGTCACAAAATCTGAGTTGGTAGAGAAACCTGTTTATAAGAGGCCATTCAGTAAAATACGTGGTTGAAAGTCTTCCCTGCTTGAAAATCAGGACACGGCAATTCCAATATGTGATTCCGTTAGGAGGCTTGCCCTTCAATTCTTTGGCTGCTATTCAGTATGTGTGCTTTTGGGGTGTCAGTCAGAGTGACCCATGGTATCTCCAGTAAAGACAGAGCTCTGACAGGCCAGATCTTCTCCAGTCTTCTAAAGGAGACTAGTGCAGCATTTAAATTGTCCAATTTAATGTCTTGTATGTGCAATTTGGAAATCACTGGCATATTATTTGACATCGCCATGGTGGAGTTAGGCAAAAAACAAAGAGACCATCTAATAGTTCCTCTTATGTTTGGTCCTTACCTAGTGTTCCTGAGTGAGGGACTTCTTTTGAGTTACAGACAGCTCCTACACTTCGTGACACTCCTTTGTCTAAGGTCTGCACTGCCCCACCCAACAACACCTTGGCAACAAGCAAAGCTACAGGTAGATGAACGGCATGAAATCACGACCAGATAGGCTGGCTGCTTTTGCATTCCATTGATAGACAGTACAATTTTTCAGTACTGGGGTTGGTTAAGAGTTTTACAAATTGTTTTCTTTCTTGAATGATAGGAGGCCGGTTATTAAAAGATTATGAGGCATCAAGAAGGACTTCACATTTCAAGTGACAAATTTTATGTTTTCAATGTTCTTCTGCAAAACTACTATCTTTAGTGTGAAAAAATGCTGTGTTTTTTTAGCAATAGGAAATGTCATGGTTTAAAATATTAACACATTTTCCATAAGTTCTTAATTGAACAGAAACATGATCAAAGATCTATGTGAGCAGCTTTTCCTATTTCAGAAATAATTTAATAAATGACATTGTGTTCTGAATCTTCTGAATACTTAGAAAAGGGGTTGCTTCCCTAAATCTCTACACGTCGGTTTATAAACATCTTCCTTTCTAGAATTTGGAAATAGGACAGGAAGATACCTCATGTGGTGAAAGCTCATCTGTAAGGGAAATCCATGAACCTTGCAGTGATGTGAACCCTGTGAAATAATGCTCGTGTCTAGTCACGCTTTACTTGTTTCAAAGGACTGAAGATATAGGCTAAAAACAAATAACCAAATGAATAAAGAAATTAACAGGATTAGCAATCATTTCTGAAAAATAGAATAATGTATGTTCCTGAAAATGTAACTGATATCATGATATAACATTTTTCACACCTTGGACTTTCCTGGATGTACTGAGCTCAACTTCATTGACAAAATAAACATAGAGATGAGGCAGTCATTACATATCACATGATAACATTGTGAATCATTTTAGTCTGTTTTAGTAAAAATGAAAATGATAATTGGAAAAAAGTACACCAAGAGTGAAATGGAGAAAACATTTCCACATATATTTACTCATTGAATCAAACAACCCCACTGTGTGGTTTACTGTATATTCATAATTACTCATGTTTTATATCTGAAAAGTTAGTGTGTTTACTCCAGTCACAGGGATGAGTATGAGTATGTCATGGGGTCAGACCAAGTCCTGGTATGTTGATTCTATCTATATCCAGTCATTTGCCATCACTAAAATGCCACCAACATGGTGTAATTTTCAAACTTTATTTTTCGTTCTATTTTTCCCATTACCATTTACCTCCCTTATCAATCCCATGCTCTCTGCCATCACCACACTGTTGATCTTGTCCTGCATGGTGCATTTTTATCAAAACTATAGCAACATCTTGCCACATAGCTTGTTTTAGTTTACAATGGTGTTCCCAGTGCTAACCTCAGTGCCTGACTGGGTAAATACCTGATAGATATTTAGTGAATAACTAAGCAGATGAATAGGAGTGCCTAGCCTGATAAAGGATCAAAGGCCTTTAATCTTACATTGAGATAAAAACAAAACAAAACAAAATAACAAGTAGGCCATGTAAAAGAGAAACTTTTGGAAGGATAGGCAATGTGGTGGAGGAAGTAGGCTATTTTCTGCTAAACCCACATAAGGGAGCTTTGTTGGAAACACGCACGTGTCCACACATACAACACTGTAGATCCATGTCTCTACAAATGCAAGGTTTCCATCCTTATCTCGCCCCCTACTGGAATTCTTGATATTAGGATTCATATCCAGAGCATTTGGGGTAGCCCTAGGCTGTTGCAGAATTTAATTCCAAAGGAGGTAGAGGCATTTCATAAAACAATTATGCATATCAGAGAGATTTTCAAATTGATTCAATGTGGGTATCAGAAGACTGAGTAGAAATAGTTCGAATAAGAACGTGCTGTGGAAGAAGTAGGAGGTTAGAATAAAAGAGGCCAAGACCAGTATAGGATTAGAATATCACAGATGAGAGAGAAAATCAATATTTATGCTTTACTCAGTGTCAGAGGATGACAGGATATGAGGTACGGTGGGAAAAATGCTTCAAGGGTTCAAAAGATTACTAATTCAAAGCTACATGGGTGAGAAAAAAATTGAGGTTTCAGTTAGTAGACACATGAAAAAGCATGACTTGGTTAAAGATATTCCCTGCTTGAGTATATAGAGGAGTTTCCGGTAGTCAAAGACATGGTAAGCAAGTATGGGGTGTTTGATTAGTCTTACAATGCAAGTCACGTATTGGTTCAGTTTGAAGACACATTAGATGTAAACTTTCAAGCATGTGTCTCTATTCTCAGCGCCGCTGGGAGTCTAGTTTCACACGTTGTTCCTTAGTTGACATTTACATTTGTATGTCTAGTAGGCATCTCAGACTTAACATAACCTAAACAGAGTTCTTGATTTCCTTTCATACCCACACCTTTTCTCCTTGTCTTCTCTATATTAATAAATGGTACCATTGCAGATCAGGTTCCTCAGAAAAAAATAGTCAAGTTATCCTTGATGCCTGTCATCTTTCCAATTTGCGCTTCCCATATACAAGCAAGATGCATTAAATCTATCTCAAAAACACATCCTGAACCTGTCTCCTCTCAATCTCCACTATCACTACTCTAGCCAAAGGCACTCATGAATCGTCTGGGTTCCTGAAGTTACTTCCTACTTGGATTTCTACCTCTCTTATGCACCCTTTACCACATATTCTCTGTATAGTGGAAAGAGGAATTTTAAACATATATAGCAGTACCTCTCCCTTGCATGAAATTACATTGCATTGCATTGCATTTATAAAAATGTGTAGTTTTCCTTCCATTTCACAATAACTCACTCAAGCCAATGGGTATGCCCTCACCTACTAATGTCCTCACACTAAAATTCTAGTTTTATATACATTGACCACCTAGACTGCTTCTCCAGCACATGTATCCCCTTTCTTCTTGATATGTTTGGCAGTGGCTCTTCCCACTACCGGTATTGAAAATTCTCCAGAGTTTTATATAGCTCTCCGCTTCTTTTTGTCACATCTCAAAATAAATGACATCTTTCCAGAGAGACATTGTTTGCCAGTCCCCTCACAAAATCTTAGGTGCTGAATATGACCTCTCTTTATGTTAGTACTTTGAGGCTTTCTTTGTTTGTGAATTTGTTTGTTTGCTTAAAGAATAATGTTATTTATATTCCTGCATGTGTCCCACATCTGCTAGGATTCTCTGAGGGATCAGAGAACTATCTGCTCACTAGCTGTATCTGAGAAAATCTACTGAAACTATTTGAAACTGTTCCTCGATACAATGGGAAGTAATACTGTACATGTGAGAGTGTTTTTCTCATGGTAAAGAGAGGTAACACTTAAAAGTTCAAGAATTTACATGATGCATAAAATATTCAAAACTGCTGAATGAGGAAAGACTTAGGGAGAAGTTAGACTGTAGAAAGTTCAAAGGTATGAACTATGTTAGTTGCAACAGGGACAACGAGGCGTGAAAGCCACAGTCTGGAAAGAAAGCAGCATGACTCTCAGGTTAACGGAAGACCAAGGCAGCTGTGAAAGTTGCATTTTTACTACGTGTTTTCACAGGCACAACTGGACAATCGGCTGCAGGATCAGGCACCACAACAGTAGCATCCTCTGGAGTGACAGGAACAACGGGACCGTCACCTGGAGGGACAGGGAAAACTGAACCGTCATCTGAAGTATCTGGGACGAAGGGGACCATCGCAGGAGTGACAGGGACATCCAGACCGTCACCTGGGAAATCGGGAACAACTGAACCATCAGCTGAGGGGTCAGGGACGATGACGCCATCTTCTGAGCACCTAGGAACACCTGCACCAACAACTGGAGCGCCAGGAACAACTGTCCCATCAGGGAGAGTGTCCAGCGGTGGAGGGTCCTCATCGGGAACAGTAGGAACCACTAGATCACATGTTGTAGGTTCAGAGACAACTGGACCTTCATCAAAGATAAGTGAAGCAGCAACTGGAACGCCAGGGGCACCTGGGTCATCGCCTGAACCATCATCGGCGACAGAACCATCAGCTGGAGGATCAGGGACAAGTGGATCAGCCTCTGGAGAATCAGAGACCCCAGGATCATCCACAGGACACTCAGGAACAACCGGAACATCTGCTAGAGTTTCAGGAACAACTGAATCGTTACCTGCAAAATCAGGGACAACGCGACCATCAGGCCCAGGAACAGGAACAACTGGCCCAACAGCTGAAATGTCAGGAACCACTGGAGTAGCACGTGGAGGATCGGGGACCACTGTGTCAGCAGCTGGATTGCCAGGGACAAGTGTGTCAACTCCAGGTGGGTCAGGAGCATATGAGCCATCGACTGGAACACCAGGGGCCACAGGTCCATCTACTGGAGAACCGGGATCAAGAGGGACATCTTCCACAGGTTCGGAAACAACTGAATCATCTGAAAAATCAAGGACAACTAGACCATCAGGTCAGGGAAGAGGAACAAGTGGCCCAACAGGTGAAACGTCTGGAACCACTGGAGTAACAGCTGGAGGATCAGGGGCAACTGGTTCAGGAGCTGGATTGCCAGGGACGACAGGGTCACGTCAGGGAGGGTCCGGAACACATGGGCCACCTTCAACGGGGAGACCAGCGGCAACTAGAACATCTGTTGCGGGTTCAGCGACCACTGGCTCATTCAGGGGAACATCAGGGACATCAGCAACGTTAGCAGAAGAACTGGGGACAGCGCAAGCATCAACTGGAGTCCTGGGGACAACAGGGACATCAGTGGTGACAGTCAGTGAAGGAGGAAGAACAACGGGGAAGCCAGGAATAGAGATGACCGCATCTGGGGGTAAGTCAAGTCCGCTTAAAGCAGACCTTCCAGTAGAGCCAATATTAGTCTTTGTCTCAGGCTCAATTTTGAACGATACATATGAGTTTATCAGCATTGGAGTTTGTACAGGAAACACTGTTGAATATGGCTGGGTGCTCTGTAGAACGTGATTGCTTCAAATTGATATTTTGTACTTCTTAATAATTTAATTTCTCACCCCTGCTACTTCACTTTTTTGACCAGGAGCCTCCCGAGGGCCAGCGGGAACTACCAGAGGGCCCAGCAGGGGAAGCACAGCAGGAGCAGGAACCTCCGGGAGCGGAGCAGGCAAGGCCCCCTGGGCGATTCAGCACAAGCATGGCGGGTCCCCCAGTTACGGAGACGCGCTTCAGTTAGTTGCTCAGCACTGAAGTTTTGGAGAAATGATTAAATTACGTTCTAGCTTAATGAGTCATAGTGACATTTCAAATGCACTTGCGTGGAAATAAGTTTATTGTTCGTCCTAAACGGAACCACGGAGAAATAAAGATCGATTATTTCTTTCCCCAGGCACACCCGAAGAACCATATGGAGCAACCACTGAAGCAGGTGAAAGCACAATGAGATCAAGCACAGGTGGTAAATCGGAAGAATGGGAAGGGACGTTCCTGCGACATTGTCGCTCAAAGTGGGGTTTTCTGTTAAGTCTAATAATGGATATCTGTGTATTGTAAATATAAAAGGTAGAAAATCAGATCCAAGTCATGCGGCGTTTAGGTCCTTTCATGTTGTTACGTGCTTTCACACCAGTACTGAAAGTATAACGACCGGGTTCAAAGTAGTTACATTGATCCTGTCCAGGTAGGAGCCCCCCCACAATGAAAATACTGCTTGTGCCTTTCTACTTTTCATCCCAGGTTCCACGGGTGGCACTCCTGGCTCTACAGTTGCACCTGAAAGTTTCAGTGCCGGTAAGTAAACAGGGGAAGTGAGATGTACTTTTGACTTATTTTCATGCTCAGGGCCTAGGTAAAATGGTAAAATTAGTCGTCAAAAGACCAGTTGAATAATGAGAATGTCTTCAAACATATTACTCATTTTATCTAAGTGAATAAGCATTGTTCTCTATTTTACTCACGAGGAACTTAAAAAAGCCATTACCTAATTTGGTCCAGGATCTACAGCCAGTCCCACGGCGGAGCCCGTGTTGTGATCCGTCGTTTACCGACCGCAGACCCGTGTTCTTCAGCACAATGTCACCCTGCAAGGCAAACAGACAACGGTCTTTAAAGACCCGTTCCTAACATCTAAATCTTGCTTTTCTATGTACAAAAGAAAGTTTCCCCATTTCTACCTGTAATAACTGCAACAGCAGGTAATAAAAAGTGGGTTAAAATATTTTATGTGAGTGAAACCGGGGCATTGTTCTGAACCAGAAGACTTGGTGCATTTCACTTGACGAAACTGCAATTCTAGTGTTTAATTAATCAAGAATTATATCACTTCCTTCTTTTTACAATATTCGAACCTGACGTACATTTTATAAATACTTCCAGGGCAGTTTTTTTCCCGGCAGTACATGGGCTAAATTATTTTTCCTAATGTTCAGTACAATATTATCTTTCTGCACTAGTAATGCCTCATGGTAGTTGTGGAAGACGTCCTTTTTCAGTTTGCAGGGTACCTAGTAGAATGTACACTTTGCTGACTAAATTTTCTACTACGTAATGAATCGGCTGCTTATAATCTTTTTCTGATAAAGAGTTATGCTCCATGTATTCTAACTATTGAAAACGCCCTTATGTGTATTCATTTTACACACTAGAGCCGCGAGAAGATACTTAATTCAAAAATTTGACTGAGACGAAATTCATAAGTATTCTTTATTCAATCAATTGTTATGTAAATGAAGTAGCATGCTGTATGTTATTTATGGAACACTGTAATTATATTATGAATTGATAGCATGGCTTCTAGGATATGTGGCCTGGGAGCACGGTATGTGTCCTATCCTCCTTTGGAGTTTGGATTTTCCAAATGAGAGATTTCAGTCTTTATGTAAGCAGATACGAATAAGAGTTACTGTGTGTACAATTTTACTTGGAAGAAAGAAAAGGTTTATTTTTTTGGTTGACAATATGTACCCCAGCATTGATTCCTTGCAAGGACACGTTACACTTTCTCTTTCAAGAGATCCCTCTTCCTGACTTGAATGTCTACGTAAACTTCTATGGAAATAACACTTCTGTTTTCAATGAAAAACTTTTATATATAGTGTCACTTGTAGCACTGACATAAATTTTTAAAAGGGAAATCAAGAACTATGTTATTTAATTGGACGTAAAATTAATGGTTCTTGTTTTATGCCCATATAACAAAATTCAATGGTTATGTAAATGAATTCACATCTGTATATCATGTATATACCATAATTATATTATGAATTAATAGCATGGCTTCTAGGATATGTGATTATTAGGGCACAGTATGTGTTTTTCCATACATGGTTTTTTGGGTTTTCCCAAATTTGAGATTTTAGTGTTTAATTAAGTGAACCCAAACAAGAGTTACTGTGTGTACAAATTTTATTTGGGAGAAACAACGGTTTTTGTTTTCACTTGGATAACATGTACCTCAGCATTGATTCTGTGCGAGAACAGGTTACGCTTTCTCTTCCAGGATATCTCTCATCCTGACTTGAATGTCTAGGTGAACTTTATGGAAATACACTCCTGTTTTCAATTAAAAACTTCTATATATAATGGCAATTGTAGCATTGGTATAAATTTTTAAAATGAATTCAAGAATTATGTTATTTAATTGAAACATGAAATTAATCTTTCCTCTCTTAGGCCCACATAACAAAATTCCACCAGTATTAGCTGAAGGTAAGTCGAAATTAAAATGTCAAAAGTATATTTCTACACAATGTAGTTTGAAATAATATTTCATCTTTTCTATTTTTGCCATAGAAACACAATACGGACTGTGATTTTCTTCCAAAAAAATTTAATACGAATAAATCACTAGAAATCATGATAAATTTATTTCTAACGAATATATATAATTTATATATTTAAACTATTTAATTTAAATAATAAATAACATGTTATTTACTATATAACATAATGGAAATTGCCTATAAAATTATATATTATGTTGTTATATTTTATTATATATTATATCATATATTCTAACATATAACCTACAAAAACTAATATATATTATATATATATTTGTTTTTAATTTCCAGTCCCTTTGGAACAGCCTAAAGGAACAGGTAAGTAAATATAAGATTACAAATGTCCACTAAAGAAATTGTGTATCAGCAGCTAGAAGAGAAAATGTGGTAGCAGAAGTTATCGTTTATCAGCTTAATGAAACAGGAAGTTCCTATTGGATTTTGGTAGCTTAGGGCTTTTTTTTTTCTGTCCTTATGCCTTCTGAAATCCTAACAAAAGTGTACTGGTTTCCATACATAAGACTTACATTTTACGTTGGTTGTGTACAAACATACCCAAGCAAATGAATAAATAAGTCTAGAAATATCCCCGTCATAAAAAAAGACAGTACCATATTTCTCAGAATGTTTTTTATCATCACCTATCATTTTCCTGAAATTCTTTAGCTTTTTTCATTTGATGTCTTCTTTAAAATGGAAGAGATTTAAAAGGTAGGCAAACAAGTGTGTTCTATAGAACATTTCACTTTTTCTTGATTGTTTTCTGCACTCTTTTAGCATTTACATTCAAATATAAATTCCAAGTGGCAGGTATTTTTGTCCGATTTTGTTCACTGATATCAAAACCCTTTCTGGTCCTAGTGCAATGAGGTGTTTGATTTCGATACTCGTCCTCCTGATCCACTAGGTCCTACCTTTGTTGAATGGGGACCATTCAACACCATCACTCAGTGCATAAACCGGAGAGCTCAGATATCTGTTAAAACAAATGGCAGGGGAGAGTAATGCAGTGAAAAATGGAGAAAGGGATATTGAACAACAGCAATTTTTTTTAAAAAGGTACTTCCAACACAGGTTGAGTGTAAATGATACGGAAACCTTCGACATGGACATGATGGAAATGATTTTTTGTAGACTTCCTGAAGGAAAAGCAATGCAGACACCTCTTCCCAGAATCCCAAACTCCCAGAACTTGCTCTTCCCCTGTTTTCTCCCTCAGAGGCCACGACTTGCAGAGAAGGTGCAGGCACCCGTGCAGGGGGATACAAGCAGTGTGTGCCTTCTGTTAACCACTAATAATGGTGCCCGTAGGAGAGGCGACAGAGAGGAAATGTTTCTGGGGAGAAGTTCGTATTTCCTTTACTGACACTACATTTGGGCGAATGAATTATTATGAGTTTTGAAATTTCGTCCTGCTAAACTACTCATAACAGAGGTCGGAATTATGGCTGTAACCTTCAACATAGCACGATTGTCCCAAGAGTTCTAAGTGATTTCTCCTGTGAAATTACAAATCGTGTAAGAAAGGAGAGGCCTTTCTATCCCTGACCATGCCAGAAGAGCTCCATAAACCCTGGGAACACGTCTGCCCAGTAGAGACGTAGGCATTTTACAGCAAAGCAAGCAAGAGCGCAGTATTGTCCCAGTGTCTGGGGTTTTCGGAGCACTCATTCCTTCCTTCTGCTTCCAACCCACAGCAGGTACCACTGTAGCAATCGGAAAGTGAAGTCACTGGGAGGAAAACAGGTGAGTGTGGAGGACACCCAACGAGTTTACCAGAATAGAGTGATGCCTGGAAGGTGGTCTCACGTAGAGCACACAGTCGCGCTGCAAATTTTAGTAATAAAGCGGTTAATGAGGAAAAACACAGTGCTCATCATCCAAGGAGAGTTGGACAGTGAGCCGGTCATAAGAAATGAAAATGTGCTTAGGTATTTTTCAGGTGCCTGGTTTAGAAAAGAAACGTGGCCGTGCGGTGACCGTAGTCCCTTTTGTGTTTCAGGCACCACGGGCGTAGCCCCTGGCACAACTGTTGCCCCAGGAAGTTCCAAAACAGGTGAGGCAACAAGTTGAAATAGACTCTTGTGCATCTCCTCTCAGAAATCAGATGTCTCCTCTGGGATTATGCATTACAGGGGCACCACCCTATCTTTTCCACGTTCTGAAATATTCTCCAGTCACCTCTTTCCTCATTGTCTCTCTCCCTCAGAGGCCACGACGTCCCTTGGGGAAAGCAAAGCAACTGGAATTGGGATAGCAACAGGTGAGTATCACATACTGGTACTTGTCCCTCATAATAACAGCGGAGAAACACACACACACACACACACACACACACACACACACCCCAGGTCTTACACAACTCTCTTTATTGCATTAGTCTAAAAAACACTTCACCAGACCACCTTGAAGACAAATTAATGACACATAAATAGTTATGTGGAGAGAAATTCTACTCTCTTCTCCAAAATAAGACGTGTGATACTTAAGTCAGAAAGGAGTTATAGAAATATTTTCACATGAGGAGCTTAAGGATGAATGAAGGAACTAAAAGTTGAATCTCGGTGTTGCATGGAGACTTTAGGTTCCTGTTTAAAACAGGATGTGAGCAGGCAATTGAATTTGTGACAAGTGCCCCTTTCCTGTAGGTACTACTGGTATAGTGTCTGGGAAAACTCTGGAGCCTGGAACCCGCAACACAGGTAAGTCTGAAAATACAAGCACAGACTAGACTTTGGCTTCTTACATAATATATTACGTCAACATGTAGTATGAATTTCCCAAATCCTGGACCTTACTCCTCCCCTTTTTTCCTCTGTTAGCGGCCACAACTACCATGGTTGAAACGGGGACTACCGCAGCAGGGCTTCCAGGAGGTGAGCTAATTAAATCTGAGGCCTCTTCTCCTTTGAATAGATTCTCTCCTAGTGTGGCTAAGGGGAAACCATAAGTGGGAAGGTGAGCAAGGAAATATGCCCACATTCCATCCAGGAACAGAATATGCCAAGGCACGAAACGGAGTCACCCTAGGAATTCTCTGGCCACACGTGACTCTGTCATTGTTTTCAGAGGCCCAGGCTTGCAAAGCAAGTGCTTGGATGGCAGTGATGTGGGCCACCTACAAGCAAGCCCCTGTGTACCAAAGCCCCTTTTGTTACCTATGATTTCCCATAGTACTCATTAAGAGATATCAAACTGACTTATTTTTCACATATATTAATCACTGTTGGTCCCTAGCTACCAGAATATAGCCACATAATGGAGAATTCTTTAAATATTCTATTCACGACACACGCAAAGGCCTAAACAATAATGTAGAGAAGACTTGCTTAATAAATTTCAGTGGAACGAAGATCTGTGTACTTAGGTTGAAGCTTTGCTGTCCTTGCATTAACAGGCACCACCATGGTTTCACCTGGAGGCAGCAGCAGCTCCCAGAATTCCAGGCCAGGTAGGATGCACTACCTTCAGGGCCGTTAAGCTCAGAGGCAGGGCACACAGCCACGTCTGAGCACCCAGTTTAAGGCAATGCTGCTCAGAACGATATTTTGGAAACTAAAGACCACTGACTTATGTGTAATATCAGATAGAAGTGTTCTGTATATGTAATTAAACTCTAGACTCTTTGGTTTTTAACACAAGTATCACGTCATTCCATACAGCATATCACATCGTTAGAATGATGCACACCTATTGCCAGGAGTGTAGTTGTGCTATTTAGGAGCATGTGTTTGTTTCTCCTTTACGTCATCAGGGACCACAGGAGCATCAGCAAGTGCTACCACGGGAGCCAAAAAGAAAATTACAGGTGGCACGGACTTCAGAGAAGGTGAGATAAAGACATGAGTCACATGCTATACCTCCCATAGCTTCTTCTCCAAGGCCGTCCTCTGCTGAAGTGAGGAAACATGATACCCTGAGTACGGCATTAGACACTGGGGGACCAGTGTCTGTTTCGAGTCACCTGCAATTTTAGGACAATCTTCAATACTTAGATTTCATATATTAATAAAATATTGTGACATATTTCTGTGGTACGCTTAAATTTCTGAATAATGCCCCAATACATAATGAAATTTAATCCACATAAAAACCATGGACTAGAGTCAATGGATTGCCATTAAAATAAAATGATGAAAGTTCTCGAAGCTGGCAGAAGCAGGGAATAGGTCTCCGAACTCTCTGTCGTTGTTCCACAGTTCCCTGATCTATGCGCAAGAGCATACATGCCGAACCAATGAAAACAAAACCCAAAGCGCCAAAGCCAGGTGAGAATAGGCTTGCCCTTGTGCATCACTGGCTGAATTTCAGCTATTGTTAGATTCATGAATAAAACATACTTGTTATTCCTTAAGCAGAGATAATTTTGATTAAATGAACAAGACTTAGTTCACCACTTACCCCTTATGGAGTCAGTTAGCGTGCGTACCTCTTGCATTTTCTCCTCTTCACCGCATTGCTCTGCTGGAGCTCCCATGTTAGACATTTTCCGCCGGGTGTCTGCAGCGACTCGCCAGACTCCCCTCACCTGCACGCAGCGGTGATCAGTGAGCCTCCCAGACCAAGGGCATCAACTTCTCCAGAGAACAGTTTAGAAATGCAGCTACTGAGGTCCGCCTCTCTGGAACCAGAAGCACTTAGAGTGGAGCCCAGCACGGAGTATTACTCAAGAAGCCCTTTCAGCAGTTGGTGATTATCAAAGTTGAGACCATTTCCATTCTCCACTTCCCTCCCAATTTACACTTTGTCAATACCATTGACCATAATGGAATGACTTTGGAACACTCAGGTGTCATCATGGTTCCACTACTTAAAATCCTTCAATCATTCTTATTGCTTTTAGGATTAATATAAATTCCTTTACATATCACTAAAAGACACGTTTTAGTATGCATGGGGCTTCTCTTTATGCCTTTATTAACTTATTCACGGTCTGATTGTATTAATTAAATTATAGTCTGATTGTGTCCATATACATTTATAGTTCTTTAGCAAATTTCTTGATCAAAAATTTGTGTCATATACTCTTTGGAATAAAATATAGTTTATATAAAAATGTATTATAACATACAATCAGCTCCGGCTGCTGTGGCTCAGTGGACTGAGTGCTGGCCTATGAACCCAAAGCTCCCTGGTTCGATTCCCAGTCAGGGGACATGCCTGGTTTGAGGGTCATGTCCCCACCCCAGCAGGGGTCGAATGAGAAGCAACCACACATTGATCTTCCTCTCTCTTTCTTTCTCCCAACCTTCCCCTCCTTTTAAAAATAAATTAAATAAAATCTTTTTTAGAAAAAGAATCAACAGTAGCACAAATGAAGAAACTGGTTTCTATTAGAACAGTGAAGTGACTGAAACTTTAGGGTGATGATTGTGTAGTCTACATTTCCTAAAATTTGAATGAGAATTGGTTGGGTAATAATGAGAAGTCAATTGGGATTATTGTTTTTGTTGCTGTCATCAGGCTGTAAGTAGTTTTAAACAGGGCTGCTGAAATTTTGGACCATGAATGAGTGCCACGCAATTCTGATGGTACAGGTTCATGAAGTAATAAGGACTGAAACAGAGAACAGGCATTTAGAAACAGTACATTTACCCAGAAAAATTATATGTCTTAAATAAAAGTGAATGTTTTGGATGATGATTTTAAATATATTTAATTCTCTACTTTATGACATTATCACAAAATGTAAATAGGGGCAGACTGAAATGTTTACAGCATTGCTCTTACCTCGGACTGTCTGAGAAGCAAAGGTGGGAGTACGGACTCTAGGGGTCGATGGCTTGGGTGTGGCTCCTGCACGTGCTGCCCACCGCCCCAGGGACCTGGCGATGGCGGTCCACCGCGTCTGTCACATGGAAGAAGAATATTACTTGCCTCAAAGGATTGTCATAAGATTAATTGAGTAGATTCATGTCTAGGGCATTTTTTAAACTGCCATATGTATTTTTTTCAGCTGGATCAGGGGCCCCGACTGCACCCACAATAGAACCTGAGAAAGAGACCTCAGCCAGCGAACCAAGCCCAGGAGCGACAAGCCCAGGAAAATCAGGCAAGGCAGGATGGACACCTCAGCGCCTACTCAGTGGCACTGAACATGTGACAGGTTGAACTAAGGATTAAGCTGTGGGTGACTTTAGACCATCAAGCTGCAGAAATCTTAGGCTCCATTTTAAGATTACGTTTGCGTAGGAAACCTCGGTTATCGTGTCCCAGTAGAAGAGCGACAGGCAGAACCCTGCAGCTCCCCGAGGAGTGGCCCTTCCCTGCCGTTGTGTCAGGGACCTCAGAGAAACAGAGAAACACAGGGGCTGGGAGGAAAGGCCCAGGAGACTCGCCGGCCCCAGGGGCACCCTAGGGAGCCCGAGCAGCTGTGGGCACAGGGGTCTGGAGCATCTTCTTGCTGACCTCAGGGAGGTCAAAACCAAGTTGTTAGTTATTGGTAAACGCACATATTCGTGACTGCACCTTCCCGGCCCTTATGGGCTTACCTGTGGTGGATCTCTCACATATGCTCAGAGGTGGCTTAGAGCAAAGCATATTGTATTTTGGATTCCAAAAATCTTACCTGATAAATTCCTAGGCTCTGAGGTGGGGTTCCGGATGTGGTGTGCAAATGGATGTGACCAAAAAGTGTAAACTGCTTTGAAAGAAGAGAACAGTAAAATTTGTTCTGTTTACAAACATCATGATATATGCTTGTTGGTTATTTTCAAAGGGACTACAGGACCCTCAGCTGGTGAACCGACTAGAGCACCAGTCAGTGAAGTGACACCATCTGAAACGGGCACCTTAGGTGAGTGGAGGTGTCATTCAGAGGCTGTGTCATTTATCACAAGGGCCACGTTAAATCAGAACCATGATGATTTCTCTCAAATTACTCAAATACCATCCACCAAGCGGTGTAAATCGGTAGAAAATGATTAACATTTTCAAGAATTTTTTACTGATTTCTCCACATCTCCCCCTCAAAAGCAGTCAGCATCGGACTGTGCCCAAAACGGACCTGCTCCCCCGACACTGTGTTAATCGGGGGTACCAGCGGAGTCTTGAAGTTCCTGTTGGAACTGGCAGGAGCAGCTCGGCTAGACCTTGGGAGCCAGCCCAGCAGGGGGCAGTGCAGGCAGCGTGCAGGCTCACCTGGCACTTTCGGGGTGCTCCGTCATGAGTGTAGCAGAGACCCCAGGTCTTACGAGGAGTTTAAGTGAGTTTAGTAATGGCTATTACTTTAACGGCTCTCATTTTAGGATAATAACTGTCAGTAGTGGGAACAAGTTTAATACAACCACCGCTGTAGACTAGAATTGCCAGATAAGATACAGAATGCCATTAACTTCTGTATTAAACACAAATAAGGGATAACTTTTTTAGTATAAATATGCCTGATGTAATCATTAGTGCATGGTGGTTTGTTGCTTAATTCAGATTCAAATGTAAGCGGGGGTCCAGTATCTCTACGTGCTGATCTGGGGATCCCAGTGCGGACCGACCACGGCTGTTCTTTCGCCTGGGAGCCTCTGGAGGGGGAAACGCAGCCACCACTCGAGCTGCTGGTGGAAAGACTTTGGGAGCATCAGGGACTAAATAACACAGTCAGAATAACACTGGATAAAAGACATGTGATTTTCTAACTCAAAATGTGGTCGGAGATAAGATTTCCTGGGGAATGTAATTATTCTTGGGTGTATAATGTAAAAACAGAAGAAGATCAGAAAAGAAGTAAAGGATACTTTTGATGAGAACAGGACAACCAAGAATAAGCAACCTTCCAAAATACTACCGCGAGTAAACACTGCTGCTAGAATCCATATGATGCAGCGAAGTGAGTGAATCACCGAACCTCTGTCATCTCAGTTTTCTCATCTGCAAAAGGGGGCAATGTATTCTGTTGAGTTCGATTGTGATGAAGATCCAATGCAGCAAGGAATGAGTGCATGTCCAAGCACATGTTTGGAAACGTATGAAATTGTTATTATTATTATTATTCTTAATACAGGAAAACAGATTTCAGTATTCTTCAGTTTGAAGCTACTCTAACTCCGAATGGGTTATCTCATAGTTTAAGAAATTCTGTGAATGAGCTCTTTTCATTTTTCCTTACAACAGGTACCTCTGGGCCCTCAGGTGGTGCCACGGGTGGAGGTGAAGGTACACCTGAGTCTCCCAGCAGTGGGGCTACAAGTTCTTCAAATAAGCCAGGTGAGATAAAGGAACAGAAAAGAGTCACAAAATCTGAGTTGGTAGAGGAACCTGTTTATAAGAGGCCATTCAGTAAAATACGTGGTTGAAAGTCTTCCCTGCTTGAAAATCAGGACACTGCAATTCCAATATGTGATTCCGTTAGGAGGCTTGCCCTTCAATTCTTTGGCTGCTATTCAGTATGTGTGCTTTTGGGGTGTCAGTCAGAGTGACCCATGGTATCTCCGGTAAAGACAGAGCTCTGACAGGCCAGATCTTCTCCAGTCTTCTAAAGGAGACTAGTGCAGCATTTAAATTGTCCAATTTAATGTCTTGTATGTGCAATTTGGAAATCACTGGCATATTATTTGACATCGCCATGGTGGAGTTAGGCAAAAAACAAAGAGACCATCTAATAGTTCCTCTTATGTTTGGTCCTTACCTAGTGTTCCTGAGTGAGGGACTTCTTTTGAGTTACAGACAGCTCCTACACTTCGTGACACTCCTTTGTCTAAGGTCTGCACTGCCCTACCCAACAACACCTTGGCAACAAGCAAAGCTACAGGTAGATGAACGGCACGAAATCACGACCAGATAGGCTGGCTGCTTTTGCATTCCATTGATAGACAGTACAATTTTTCAGTACTGGGGTTGGATAAGAGTTTTACAAATTGTTTTCTTTCTTGAATGATAGGAGGCCGGTTATTAAAAGATTATGAGGCATCAAGAAGGACTTCACATTTCAAGTGACAAATTTTATGTTTTCAATGTTCTTCTGCAAAACTACTATCTTTAGTGTGAAAAAAATGCTGTGGTTTTTTAGCAATAGGAAATGTCATGGTTTAAAATATTAACACATTTTCCATAAGTTCTTAATTGAACAGAAACGTGATTGAAGATCTCGATGAGCAGCTTTTCCTATTTCAGAGAATAATTTAATAAATGACATTGTTTTCTGAGTCATCTGAATACTTAAAAAAGGGGTTGCTTCCCTAAATCTCTACAGGTCGGTTTATAAACATCTTCCTTTCTAGAATTTGGAAATAGGACAGGAGGATACCTCACGTGGTGAAAGCTCATCTGTAAGGGAAATCCATGAACCTTGCAGTGATGTGAACCCTGTGAAATAATGCTCGTGTCTAGTCACGCTTTACTTGTTTCAAAGGACTGAAGATATAGGCTAAAAACGAATAAACAAGTGAATAAAGAAACTAACAGGATTAGTAAACATTTCTGAAAAATAGAGTAATATATGTACCTGAAAATGTGACTGATATTATTGTATAACATTTTGCATACCTTGGACTTTCCTGGATGTACTTAGCACAACTTCATTGAAAAGTAAAGATAGAGATGAGGCAGTCATTACGTACCGTATAATAACATTGCTAGTCATCTTAATCCTTCTTAGTAAAAAGGAAAATGATAACTGGAAAAAAGTACACTAAGAGTGAAAACATTCACTCTTAGTGTAGTTTTTAAAATGTACTTTAAAATGGACGAAATGTTTCCATATATATTTATTTACTTCAATCAAATAATCCCTCAGTGTGTTGACAGCATGTTCGTAATTACTCATATTTTGTATCTGAAAAGTCAGTGTGTTAAATCCGGTCACAGGATGAGTATGCTGTGGGGCCCGACGTGGTCCTGGATTGTTGATTCTTTTTCCAGTCATTTGCCATCACTAAGATGCCACCAACATGTTACATTTATAAACTTTATTTCTTGTCCTATTTTCTCCCATTACCATCGGTCCTCCATATCACTCGTTTGCCCGCGGCCATCACTACACGGTTGACCAAATGAAACCTGTGCATTTTTCTCAAAACTGTAGCAACATCTTGCCACATTGCCTATTTTAGTTTACAGTGGCGTTCCCTTTCCTAGCTTAGTGTCTGACTGGATAAATATCTGGTGGATATTTGGTGAATAACCAAGTAGATGGATAGGAGTGCCTAGTCTGGGAAAGGATCAAATGTCTGTATTCTTCTCATTCAGATGAAATAAACAAACAGGCCATGTAAAAGAGAACCTATTGGAAGGATTGGCAATGTGAGCGGAAGTAGGCTATTTTCTGCTAAACCCACATAGGGGAGCTTTGCTGGAAACATGCACGTGTCCACACATGCAACCCTGTAGATCCATGTCTCTACAAATTCAAGGTTTCCATCCTTATCTCATCCCTCCTAGAATTCTTATGTTTGGATTTCACATCTAGAGCATTCTGCGTTATGCTAGACTCTTGCAGGATTTAAGTGGAGAGGAGGTAGAAGCTATTCATAAACAATTAAGCATATCGAAGAAATTATTAAAATAATTGAATGAGGATTTCAGAAGAAAGGGTAGAAATAATTCAAATAAGAATGTGCTGTGGCAGAAGTAAGAAGTGAAAATAGAAGAGGAAAATCCCGGTATGGGATTAGAATATCAGAGATGAGAGAGGAAAGTCAATATTTTTGCTTTACTCAATGTCACAGATGATGGGACATGAGATACATTGGGAAAAATGCTTCAAGGGTTCCAACAGAACACTAACTCAAAGTTACTTGAGTGAGAATGAAATTGATGTTTCAGTTTGTAGACACATGAAAAATGTGACTTGGTTAAGGGTATTCCCTGCTTGAGTATATAGAGGGGTTTCTGGTAGCCAAAGACAAGGTAAGCATAGTATGGCGTAGCTGATTAGTCTTAGGATGCAAGTCAAGTATCGGAACGGATTGAAGACAGTTTAGGTGTTAATTTTCAAACATGTATCTCCATACTTGGCATCTCTGGGAGTCTAGATTCACTCTCAGTTGCTAAGTTGACATTTACATTGGTATGTCTCGTAGGCATCTCAGACTTAGCATACCCTAAACAGAGTTCTTGATTTCCTTTCATACCCACACTTCCCCTTGTCTTCTCTATATCAAGAAATGGTACCATGGCAGACTCAGTTTGCTCAGAAAAAAAATTAGATTATCCTTGATGCCTGTCTTCTTTCCAATAGAACTTCCTACATACAACCGAGACTCATTAAATCTATCTCTAAAGCACTCCTGAACCTATCTCCTCTTCTCAATCTCCTCTATCACTACTTTGGCTCCTGGTACTCATGAATCGTCTGGGTTCCTGAAGTTACGTCCTACTAGCATTTCTCCTTCTCTTATGCACCCCTTACCACATATTCTCTGCATATGTGGAGAGAATGGAATGCATAAAATTGTATTGCATTGAATTTAGAAAAATGTGTAGTTTTCCTTCCATTTCACAATAACTCACTCAAGCCAATGGGTATGCCCTCACCTACTAATGTCCTCACACTAAAATTCTAGTTTTATATACATTGACCACCTAGACTGCTTCTCCAGCACATGTATCCCCTTTCTTCTTGATATGTTTGGCAGTGGCTCTTCCCACTACCGGTATTGAAAATTCTCCAGAGTTTTATATAGCTCTCTGCTTTTTTTGTCACAACTCAAAATAAATGACATCTTTCCAGAGAGACATTGCTTGCCAGTCCCCTCAAACAAAATCTTAGGTGCTGAATATGACCTCTCTTTATGTTAGTACTTTGAGGCTTTCTTTGTTTGTGAATTTGTTTGTTTGCTTAAAGAATAATGTTATTTATATTCCTGCATGTGTCCCACATCTGCTAGGATTCTCTGAGGGATCAGAGAACTATCTGCTCACTAGCTGTATCTGAGAAAATCTACTGAAACTATTTGAAACTGTTCCTCGATACAATGGGAAGTAATACTGTACATGTGAGAGTGTTTTTCTCATGGTAAAGAGAGGTAACACTTAAAAGTTCAAGAATTTACATGATGCATAAAATATTCAAAACTGCTGAATGAGGAAAGACTTAGGGAGAAGTTAGACTGTAGAAAGTTCAAAGGTATGAACTATGTTAGTTGCAACAGGGACAACGAGGCGTGAAAGCCACAGTCTGGAAAGAAAGCAGCATGACTCTCAGGTTAACGGAAGACCAAGGCAGCTGTGAAAGTTGCATTTTTACTACGTGTTTTCACAGGCACAACTGGACAATCGGCTGCAGGATCAGGCACCACAACAGTAGCATCCTCTGGAGTGACAGGAACAACGGGACCGTCACCTGGAGGGACAGGGAAAACTGAACCGTCATCTGAAGTATCTGGGACGAAGGGGACCATCGCAGGAGTGACAGGGACATCCAGACCGTCACCTGGGAAATCGGGAACAACTGAACCATCAGCTGAGGGGTCAGGGACGATGACGCCATCTTCTGAGCACCTAGGAACACCTGCACCAACAACTGGAGCGCCAGGAACAACTGTCCCATCAGGGAGAGTGTCCAGCGGTGGAGGGTCCTCATCGGGAACAGTAGGAACCACTAGATCACATGTTGTAGGTTCAGAGACAACTGGACCTTCATCAAAGATAAGTGAAGCAGCAACTGGAACGCCAGGGGCACCTGGGTCATCGCCTGAACCATCATCGGCGACAGAACCATCAGCTGGAGGATCAGGGACAAGTGGATCAGCCTCTGGAGAATCAGAGACCCCAGGATCATCCACAGGACACTCAGGAACAACCGGAGCATCTGCTAGAGTTTCAGGAACAACTGAATCGTTACCTGCAAAATCAGGGACAACGCGACCATCAGGCCCAGGAACAGGAACAACTGGCCCAACAGCTGAAATGTCAGGAACCACTGGAGTAGCACGTGGAGGATCGGGGACCACTGTGTCAGCAGCTGGATTGCCAGGGACAAGTGTGTCAACTCCAGGTGGGTCAGGAGCATATGAGCCATCGACTGGAACACCAGGGGCCACAGGTCCATCTACTGGAGAACCGGGATCAAGAGGGACATCTTCCACAGGTTCGGAAACAACTGAATCATCTGAAAAATCAAGGACAACTAGACCATCAGGTCAGGGAAGAGGAACAAGTGGCCCAACAGGTGAAACGTCTGGAACCACTGGAGTAACAGCTGGAGGATCAGGGGCAACTGGTTCAGGAGCTGGATTGCCAGGGACGACAGGGTCACGTCAGGGAGGGTCCGGAACACATGGGCCACCTTCAACGGGGAGACCAGCGGCAACTAGAACATCTGTTGCGGGTTCAGCGACCACTGGCTCATTCAGGGGAACATCAGGGACATCAGCAACGTTAGCAGAAGAACTGGGGACAGCGCAAGCATCAACTGGAGTCCTGGGGACAACAGGGACATCAGTGGTGACAGTCAGTGAAGGAGGAAGAACAACGGGGAAGCCAGGAATAGAGATGACCGCATCTGGGGGTAAGTCAAGTCCGCTTAAAGCAGACCTTCCAGTAGAGCCAATATTAGTCTTTGTCTCAGGCTCAATTTTGAACGATACATATGAGTTTATCAGCATTGGACTTTGTACAGGAAACACTGTTGAATATGGCTGGGTGCTCTGTAGAACGTGATTGCTTCAAATTGATATTTTGTACTTCTTAATAATTTAATTTCTCACCCCTGCTACTTCTCTTTTTTGACCAGGAGCCTCCCGAGGGCCAGCGGGAACTACCAGAGGGCCCAGCAGGGGAAGCACAGCAGGAGCAGGAACCTCCGGGAGCGGAGCAGGCAAGGCCCCCTGGGCGATTCAGCACAAGCATGGCGGGTCCCCCAGTTACGGAGACGCGCTTCAGTTAGTTGCTCAACACTGAAGTTTTGGAGAAATGATTAAATTACGTTCTAGCTTAATGAGTCATAGTGACATTTCAAATGCACTTGCGTGGAAATAAGTTTATTGTTCGTCCTAAACGGAACCACGGGGAAATAAAGATCGATTATTTCTTTCCCCAGGCACACCCGAAGAACCATATGGAGCAACCACTGAAGCAGGTGAAAGCACAATGAGATCAAGCACAGGTGGTAAATCGGAAGAATGGGAAGGGACGCTCCTGCGACATTGTCGCTCAAAGTGGGGTTTTCTGTTAAGTCTAATAATGGATATCTGTGTATTGTAAATATAAAAGGTAGAAAATCAGATCCAAGTCATGCGGCGTTTAGGTCCTTTCATGTTGTTACGTGCTTTCACACCAGTACTGAAAGTATAACGACCGGGTTCAAAGTAGTTACATTGATCCTGTCCAGGTAGGAGCCCCCCCACAATGAAAATACTGCTTGTGCCTTTCTACTTTTCATCCCAGGTTCCACGGGTGGCACTCCTGGCTCTACAGTTGCACCTGAAAGTTTCAGTGCCGGTAAGTAAACAGGGGAAGTGAGATGTACTTTTGACTTATTTTCATGCTCAGGGCCTAGGTAAAATGGTAAAATTAGTCGTCAAAAGACCAGTTGAATAATGAGAATGTCTTCAAACATATTACTCATTTTATCTAAGTGAATAAGCATTGTTCTCTATTTTACTCACGAGGAACTTAAAAAAGCCATTACCTAATTTGGTCCAGGATCTACAGCCAGTCCCACGGCGGAGCCCGTGTTGTGATCCGTCGTTTACCGACCGCAGACCCGTGTTCTTCAGCACAATGTCACCCTGCAAGGCAAACAGACAACGGTCTTTAAAGACCCGTTCCTAACATCTAAATCTTGCTTTTCTATGTACAAAAGAAAGTTTCCCCATTTCTACCTGTAATAACTGCAACAGCAGGTAATAAAAAGTGGGTTAAAATATTTTATGTGAGTGAAACCGGGGCATTGTTCTGAACCAGAAGACTTGGTGCATTTCACTTGACGAAACTGCAATTCTAGTGTTTAATTAATCAAGAATTATATCACTTCCTTCTTTTTACAATTATTCGAACCTGACGTACGTTTTATAAATACTTCCAGGGCAGTTTTTTCCCAGCAGTACATGGGCTAAATTATTTTTCCTAATGTTCAGTACAATATTATCTTTCTGCACTAGTAATGCCTCATGGTAGTTGTGGAAGACGTCCTTTTTCAGTTTGCAGGGTACCTAGTAGAATGTACACTTTGCTGACTAAATTTTCTACTACGTAATGAATCGGCTGCTTATAATCTTTTTCTGATAAAGAGTTATGCTCCATGTATTCTAACTATTGAAAACGCCCTTATGTGTATTCATTTTACACACTAGAGCCGCGAGAAGATACTTAATTCAAAAATTTGACTGAGACGAAATTCATAAGTATTCTTTATTCAATCAATTGTTATGTAAATGAAGTAGCATGCTGTATGTTATTTATGGAACACTGTAATTATATTATGAATTGATAGCATGGCTTCTAGGATATGTGGCCTGGGAGCACGGTATGTGTCCTATCCTCCTTTGGAGTTTGGATTTTCCAAATGAGAGATTTCAGTCTTTATTTAAGTGGATACGAATAAGAGTTACTATGTGTACAATTTCACTTGAGAAAAAGGAAAAGGTTTTTTTTTTGTTTGACAATATGTACCCCAGCATTGATTCCTTGCAAGGACACGTTACACTTTCTCTTTCAAGAGATCCCTCTTCCTGACTTGAATGTCTACGTAAACTTCTATGGAAATAACACTTCTGTTTTCAATGAAAAACTTTTATATATAGTGTCACTTGTAGCACTGACATAAATTTTTAAAAGGGAAATCAAGAACTATGTTATTTAATTGGACATAAAATTAATCGTTCCTGTTTTATGCCCATATAACAAAATTCAATGGTTATGTAAATGAATTCACATCTGTATATCATGTATATACCATAATTATATTATGAATTAATAGCATGGCTTCTAGGATATGTGATTATTAGGGCACAGTATGTGTTTTATGCATACATGGTTTTTTGGGTTTTCCCAAATTTGAGATTTTAGTGTTTAATTAAGTGAACCCAAACAAGAGTTACTGTGTGTACAAATTTTATTTGGGAGAAACAACGGTTTTTGTTTTCACTTGGATAACATGTACCTCAGCATTGATTCTGTGCGAGAACAGGTTACGCTTTCTCTTCCAGGATATCTCTCATCCTGACTTGAATGTCTAGGTGAACTTTATGGAAATACACTCCTGTTTTCAATTAAAAACTTCTATATATAATGGCAATTGTAGCATTGGTATAAATTTTTAAAATGAATTCAAGAATTATGTTATTTAATTGAAACATGAAATTAATCTTTCCTCTCTTAGGCCCACATAACAAAATTCCACCAGTATTAGCTGAAGGTAAGTCGAAATTAAAATGTCAAAAGTATATTTCTACACAATGTAGTTTGAAATAATATTTCATCTTTTCTACTTTTGCCATAGAAACACAATACGGACTGTGATTTTCTTCCAAAAAAATTTAATACGAATAAATCACTATAAATCATGATAAATTTATTTCTAACGAATATATATAATTTATATATTTAAATTATTTAATTTAAATAATAAATAACATGTTATTTACTATATAACATAATGGAAATTGCCTATAAAATTATATATTATGTTGTTATATTTTATTATATATTATATCATATATTGTTAACATATAACCTACGAAAACTAATATATATTATATATATATTTGTTTTTAATTTCCAGTCCCTTTGGAACAGCCTAAAGGAACAGGTAAGTAAATATAAGATTACAAATGTCCACTAAAGAAATTGTGTATCAGCAGCTAGAAGAGAAAATGTGGTAGCAGAAGTTATCGTTCATCAGCTTAATGAAACAGGAAGTTCGTACTGGATTTTGGTAGCTTAGGGCTTTTTCTTTTTTTGTCCTTATGCCTTCTGAAATCCTAACAAAAGTGTACTGGTTTCCATACATAAGACTTACATTTTACGTTGGTTGTGTACAAACATACCCAAGGAAATGAATAAATAAGTCTAGAAATATCCCCGTCATAAAAAAAGACAGTACCGTATTTCTCAGAATGTTTTTTATCATCACCTATCATTTTCCTGAAATTCTTTAGCTTTTTTCATTTGATGTCTTCTTTAAAATGGAAGAGATTTAAAAGGCAGGCAAACAAGTGTGTTCTATAGAACATTTCACTTTTTCTTGATTGTTTTCTGCACTCTTTTAGCATTTACATTCAAATATAAATTCCAAGTGGCAGGTATTTTTGTCCGATTTTGTTCACTGATATCAAAACCCTTTCTGGTCCTAGTGCAATGAGGTGTTTGATTTCGATACTCGTCCTCCTGATCCACTAGGTCCTACCTTTGTTGAATGGGGACCATTCAACACCATCACTCAGTGCATAAACCGGAGAGCTCAGATATCTGTTAAAACAAATGGCAGGGGAGAGTAATGCAGTGAAAAATGGAGAAAGGGATATTGAACAACAGCAATTTTTTTTTAAAAGGTACTTCCAACACAGGTTGAGTGTAAATGATACGGAAACCTTCGACATGGACATGATGGAAATGATTTTTTGTAGACTTCCTGAAGGAAAAGCAATGCAGACACCTCTTCCCAGAATCCCAAACTCCCAGAACTTGCTCTTCCCCTGTTTTCTCCCTCAGAGGCCACGACTTGCAGAGAAGGTGCAGGCACCCGTGCAGGGGGATACAAGCAGTGTGTGCCTTCTGTTAACCACTAATAATGGTGCCCGTAGGAGAGGCGACAGAGAGGAAATGTTTCTGGGGAGAAGTTCGTATTTCCTTTACTGACACTACATTTGGGCGAATGAATTATTATGAGTTTTGAAATTTCGTCCTGCTAAACTACTCATAACAGAGGTCGGAATTATGGCTGTAACCTTCAACATAGCACGATTGTCCCAAGAGTTCTAAGTGATTTCTCCTGTGAAATTACAAATCGTGTAAGAAAGGAGAGGCCTTTCTATCCCTGACCATGCCAGAAGAGCTCCATAAACCCTGGGAACACGTCTGCCCAGTAGAGACGTAGGCATTTTACAGCAAAGCAAGCAAGAGCGCAGTATTGTCCCAGTGTCTGGGGTTTTCGGAGCACTCATTCCTTCCTTCTGCTTCCAACCCACAGCAGGTACCACTGTAGCATCGGAAAGTGAAGTCACTGGGAGGAAAACAGGTGAGTGTGGAGGACACCCAACGAGTTTACCAGAATAGAGTGATGCCTGGAAGGTGGTCTCACGTAGAGCACACAGTCGCGCTGCAAATTTTAGTAATAAAGCGGTTAATGAGGAAAATCACAGTGCTCATCATCCAAGGAGAGTTGGACAGTGAGCCGGTCATAAGAAATGAAAATATGCTTAGGTGTTTTTCAGGTGCCTGGTTTAGAAAAGAAACGTGGCCGTGCGGTGACCGTAGTCCCTTTTGTGTTTCAGGCACCACGGGCGTAGCCCCTGGCACAACTGTTGCCCCAGGAAGTTCCAAAACAGGTGAGGCAGCAAGTTGAAACAGACTCTTGTGCATCTCCTCTCAGAAATCAGATGTCTCCTCTGGGATTATGCATTACAGGGGCACCACCCTATCTTTTCCACGTTCTGAAATATTCTCCAGTCACGTCTTTCCTCATTGTCTCTCTCCCTCAGAGGCAACGACGTTCCTTGGGGAAAGCAAAGCAACTGGAATTGGGATAGCGACAGGTGAGTATCACATACTGGTACTTGTCCCTCATAATAACAGCGGATAAACACACACACACACACACACACACACCCCAGGTCTTACACAACTCTCTTTATTGCATTAGTCTAAAAAACACTTCACCAGACCACCTTGAAGACAAATTAATGACACATAAATAGTTATGTGGAGAGAAATTCTACTCTCTTCTCCAAAATAAGACGTGTGATACTTAAGTCAGAAAGGAGTTATAGAAATATTTTCACATGAGGAGCTTAAGGATGAATGAAGGAACTAAAAGTTGAATCTCGGTGTTGCATGGAGACTTTAGGTTCCTGTTTAAAACAGGATGTGAGCAGGCAATTGAATTTGTGACAAGTGCCCCTTTCCTGTAGGTACTACTGGTATAGTGTCTGGGAAAACTCTGGAGCCTGGAACCCGCAACACAGGTAAGTCTGAAAATACAAGCACAGACTAGACTTTGGCTTCTTACATAATATATTACGTCAACATGTAGTATGAATTTCCCAAATCCTGGACCTTACTCCTCCCCTTTTTTCCTCTGTTAGCGGCCACAACTACCATGGTTGAAACGGGGACTACCGCAGCAGGGCTTCCAGGAGGTGAGCTAATTAAATCTGAGGCCTCTTCTCCTTTGAATAGATTCTCTCCTAGTGTGGCTAAGGGGAAACCATAAGTGGGAAGGTGAGCAAGGAAATATGCCCACATTCCATCCAGGAACAGAATATGCCAAGGCACGAAACGGAGTCACCCTAGGAATTCTCTGGCCACACGTGACTCTGTCATTGTTTTCAGAGGCCCAGGCTTGCAAAGCAAGTGCTTGGATGGCAGTGATGTGGGCCACCTACAAGCAAGCCCCTGTGTACCAAAGCCCCTTTTGTTACCTATGATTTCCCATAGTACTCATTAAGAGATATCAAACTGACTTATTTTTCACATATATTAATCACTGTTGGTCCCTAGCTACCAGAATATAGCCACATAATGGAGAATTCTTTAAATATTCTATTCACGACACACGCAAAGGCCTAAACAATAATGTAGAGAAGACTTGCTTAATAAATTTCAGTGGAACGAAGATCTGTGTACTTAGGTTGAAGCTTTGCTGTCCTTGCATTAACAGGCACCACCATGGTTTCACCTGGAGGCAGCAGCAGCTCCCAGAATTCCAGGCCAGGTAGGATGCACTACCTTCAGGGCCGTTAAGTTCAGAGGCAGGGCACACAGCCACGTCTGAGCACCCGGTTTAAGGCAATGCTGCTCAGAACGATATTTTGGAAACTAAAGACCACTGACTTATGTGTAATATCAGATAGAAGTGTTCTGTATATGTAATTAAACTCTAGACTCTTTGGTTTTTAACACAAGTATCACGTCATTCCATACAGCATATCACATCGTTAGAATGATGCACACCTATTGCCAGGAGTGTAGTTGTGCTATTTAGGAGCATGTGTTTGTTTCTCCTTTACGTCATCAGGGACCACAGGAGCATCAGCAAGTGCTACCACGGGAGCCAAAAAGAAAATTACAGGTGGCACGGACTTCAGAGAAGGTGAGATAAAGACATGAGTCACATGCTATACCTCCCATAGCTTCTTCTCCAAGGCCGTCCTCTGCTGAAGTGAGGAAACATGATACCCTGAGTACGGCATTAGACACTGGGGGACCAGTGTCTGTTTCGAGTCACCTGCAATTTTAGGACAATCTTCAATACTTAGATTTCATATATTAATAAAATATTGTGACATATTTCTGTGGTACGCTTAAATTTCTGAATAATGCCCCAATACATAATGAAATTTAATCCACATAAAAACCATGGACTAGAGTCAATGGATTGCCATTAAAATAAAATGATAAAAGTTCTCGAAGCTGGCAGAAGCAGGGAATAGGTCTCCGAACTCTCTGTCGTTGTTCCACAGTTCCCTGATCTATGCGCAAGAGCATACATGCCGAACCAATGAAAACAAAACCCAAAGCGCCAAAGCCAGGTGAGAATAGGCTTGCCCTTGTGCATCACTGGCTGAATTTCAGCTATTGTTAGATTCATGAATAAAACATACTTGTTATTCCTTAAGCAGAGATAATTTTGATTAAATGAACAAGACTTAGTTCACCACTTACCCCTTATGGAGTCAGTTAGCGTGCGTACCTCTTGCATTTTCTCCTCTTCACCGCATTGCTCTGCTGGAGCTCCCATGTTAGACATTTTCCGCCGGGTGTCTGCAGCGACTCGCCAGACTCCCCTCACCTGCACGCAGCGGTGATCAGTGAGCCTCCCAGACCAAGGGCATCAACATCTCCAGAGAACAGTTTAGAAATGCAGCTACTGAGGTCCGCCTCTCTGGAACCAGAAGCACTTAGAGTGGAGCCCAGCACGGAGTATTACTCAAGAAGCCCTTTCAGCAGTTGGTGATTATCAAAGTTGAGACCATTTCCATTCTCCACTTCCCTCCCAATTTACACTTTGTCAATACCATTGACCATAATGGAATGACTTTGGAACACTCAGGTGTCATCATGGTTCCACTACTTAAAATCCTTCAATCATTCTTATTGCTTTTAGGATTAATATAAATTCCTTTACATATCACTAAAAGACACATGTTTTAGTATGCATGGGGCTTCTCTTTATGCCTTTATTAACTTATTCACGGTCTGATTGTATTAATTAAATTATAGTCTGATTGTGTCCATATACATTTATAGTTCTTTAGCAAATTTCTTGATCAAAAATTTGTGTCATGTACTCTTTGGAATAAAATATAGTTTATATAAAAATGTATTATAACATACAATCAGCTCCGGCTGCTGTGGCTCAGTGGACTGAGTGCTGGCCTATGAACCCAAAGCTCCCTGGTTCGATTCCCAGTCAGGGGACATGCCTGGTTTGAGGGTCATGTCCCCACCCCAGCAGGGGTCGAATGAGAAGCAACCACACATTGATCTTCCTCTCTCTTTCTTTCTCCCAACCTTCCCCTCCTTTTAAAAATAAATTAAATAAAATCTTTTTTAGAAAAAGAATCAACAGTAGCACAAATGAAGAAACTGGTTTCTATTAGAACAGTGAAGTGACTGAAACTTTAGGGTGATGATTGTGTAGTCTACATTTCCTAAAATTTGAATGAGAATTGGTTGGGTAATAATGAGAAGTCAATTGGGATTATTGTTTTTGTTGCTGTCATCAGGCTGTAAGTAGTTTTAAACAGGGCTGCTGAAATTTTGGACCATGAATGAGTGCCACGCAATTCTGATGGTACAGGTTCATGAAGTAATAAGGATTGAAACAGAGAACAGGCATTTAGAAACAGTACATTTACCCAGAAAAATTATATGTCTTAAATAAAAGTGAATGTTTTGGATGATGATTTTAAATATATTTAATTCTCTACTTTATGACATTATCACAAAATGTAAATAGGGGCAGACTGAAATGTTTACAGCATTGCTCTTACCTCGGACTGTCTGAGAAGCAAAGGTGGGAGTACGGACTCTAGGGGTCGATGGCTTGGGTGTGGCTCCTGCACGTGCTGCCCACCGCCCCAGGGACCTGGCGATGGCGGTCCACCGCGTCTGTCACATGGAAGAAGAATATTACTTGCCTCAAAGGATTGTCATAAGATTAAATAAGTAGATTCACGTCTAGGGCATTTTTTAAACTGCCATATGTATTTTTTTCAGCTGGATCAGGGGCCCCGACTGCACCCACAATAGGACCTGAGAAAGAGACCTCAGCCAGCGAACCAAGCCCAGGAGCGACAAGCCCAGGAAAATCAGGCAAGGCAGGATGGACACCTCAGCGCCTACTCAGTGGCACTGAACATGTGACAGGTTGAACTAAGGATTAAGCTGTGGGTGACTTTAGACCATCAAGCTGCAGAAATCTTAGGCTCCATTTTAAGATTACGTTTGCCTAGGAAACCTCGGTTATCGTGTCCCAGTAGAAGAGCGACAGGCAGAACCCTGCAGCTCCCCGAGGAGTGGCCCCTTCCCTGCCATTGTGTCAGGGACCTCAGAGAAACAGAGAAACACAGGGGCTGGGAGGAAAGGCCCAGGAGACTCGCCGGCCCCAGGGGCACCCTAGGGAGCCCGAGCAGCTGTGGGCACAGGGGTCTGCAGCATCTGCTTGCTGACCTCAGGGAGGTCAAAACCAAGTTGTTAGTTATTGGTAAAGGCACATATTCGTGACTGCACCTTCCCGGCCCTTATGGGCTTACCTGTGGTGGATCTCTCACATATGCTCAGAGGTGGCTTAGAGCAAAGCAGATTGTATTTTGGATTCCAAAAATCTTACCTGATAAATTCCTAGGCTCTGAGGTGGGGTTCCGGATGTGGTGTGCAAATGGATGTGACCAAAAAGTGTAAACTGCTTTGAAAGAAGAGAACAGTAAAATTTGTTCTGTTTACAAACATCATGATATATGCTTGTTGGTTATTTTCAAAGGGACTACAGGACCCTCAGCTGGTGAACCGACTAGAGCACCAGTCAGTGAAGTGACACCATCTGAAACGGGCACCTTAGGTGAGTGGAGGTGTCATTCAGAGGCTGTGTCATTTATCACAAGGGCCACGTTAAATCAGAACCATGATGATTTCTCTCAAATTACTCAAATACCATCCACCAAGCGGTGTAAATCGGTAGAAAATCATTAACATTTTCAAGAATTTTTTCCTGATTTCTCCACATCTTCCCCTCAAAAGCAGTCAGCATCGGACTGTGCCCAAAACGGACCTGCTCCCCCCCACACTGTGTTTATCGGGGGTACCAGCGGAGTCTTGAAGTTCCTGTTGGAACTGGCAGGAGCAGCTCGGCTAGACCTTGGGAGCCAGCCCAGCAGGGGGCAGTGCAGGCAGCGTGCAGGCTCACCTGGCACTTTCGGGGTGCTCCGTCATGAGTGTAGCAGAGACCCCAGGTCTTACGAGGAGTTTAAGTGAGTTTAGTAATGGCTATTACTTTAACGGCCCTCATTTTAGGATAATAACTGTCAGTAGTGGGAACAAGTTTAATACAACCACCGCTGTAGACTAGAATTGCCAGATAAGATACAGAATGCCATTAACTTCTGTATTAAACACAAATAAGGGATAACTTTTTTAGTATAAATATGCCTGATGTAATCATTAGTGCATGGTGGTTTGTTGCTTAATTCAGATTCAAATGTAAGCGGGGGTCCAGTATCTCTACGTGCTGATCTGGGGATCCCAGTGCGGACCGACCACGGCTGTTCTTTCGCCTGGGAGCCTCTGGAGGGGGAAACGCAGCCACCACTCGAGCTGCTGGTGGAAAGACTTTGGGAGCATCAGGGACTAAATAACACAGTCAGAATAACACTGGATAAAAGACATGTGATTTTCTAACTCAAAATGTGGTCGGAGATAAGATTTCCTGGGGAATGTAATTATTCTTGGGTGTATAATGTAAAAACAGAAGAAGATCAGAAAAGAAGTAAAGGATACTTTTGATGAGAACAGGACAACCAAGAATAAGCAACCTTCCAAAATACTACCGCGAGTAAACACTGCTGCTAGAATCCATATGATGCAGCGAAGTGAGTGAATCACCGAACCTCTGTCATCTCAGTTTTCTCATCTGCAAAAGGGGGCAATGTATTCTGTTGAGTTCGATTGTGATGAAGATCCAATGCAGCAAGGAATGAGTGCATGTCCAAGCAC